TTTACATCCCTGCTTCGGATATTAATATGCGACCTTGAAGTCAGCGCTGTGAGGTCGTGGCGTGAAAAATAGAGCGGAGAGGCGCGAGAAGAAGTAGCGCTCTTTACGAATCGCGATGTAAGATTAATGAAAGCTTAAAACAAAAATCTGAAAAACAGGATTTTTAGAGCTGACGATTCTCTACCAGACAGTCTAATTTTCAAAAATTTTGGATGAGAAATATCGAAGAAAATGTCGTTTGAAGGAAAGTGGCAATTTTCAGATAGTTCCTCTTTGAAAATCATTATCATTTTTGCTGTGTTAATAGAAGTGACTTTGATTATTCAGAATCTTTTTGAATTTTGAAAAAATCTTCATCTGTTCAGATTTTACGGCTTCGTGAGAAATAGGTTCTGGCGGAGCGCGGGTCGAGCGAGCAGCGCCGCGCCGATGTATACCATTACCCTTAAGAAAAAAAAACTATAAAGTAAGCGTTTTTTATTTTTCTGTGCGCAGATTAGATTCTAATTTAAATTATCGAATTTCAGAAAAAATTTTAAATGGGGAGCAAATTTGGAGCTCCCAATTTACTCCAAGCCCCGGAATTCCGGGCTCCTGCAGCAGAAAAAAGGTGAAACTATTTCCACAGAGTGTCCCCTTTAATATTGACCAAATGCTCTCTGATTGGCTTTTATTTTTGAAGCCCCAGTGGAGGGCGCTCTCCGAGGAGCGAGCCAATCAGAGAGCCCTGAGTATTCCTTTTGTAATATTTAATATAATATTTAATTTAATATAATTTAATTTAATATAATATTTAATTTGTTTGATATACAAATTCCTACATTTTAACCTATTTCCGGGCAAGAACCGCGACGAACCGGAAGCACAACCGGTTGGTCAAAAAAAATACCACACCATTTTGATCAGTAATTAATAAGCTTCAATTTGAGCTATAAAACATCATCATAGCATGCTTATATCAGAAGTTGATAATATTGGATTTTCGTATCTGGCTGCTTGCGTCAACTTTGGAGCTCTAGAATCATATGAAGGAAGCACTCCGCAATAATAAATTTCATATGTTTCGATGCATCTTGCGCTTATCTTTCACATGGTAGGCATCAAATTATCAAAATCGATCTAGCACGCACTCAAAAGCCGCTTCTAATCAAACTAGTGCTTTTTTTCTCGCTAAAAATCCCCCAAAAAAAGAGGTAAGATGACTCATATCGAAAATTCTGTAAGTGCAGTTTTTCAAGGCTTGTCTTGATGCATATGTTCTGAAAGTATGGGGAGATTTTTCAAAAGAACCTTGAAAATCGAAAAACACCGCGGTAAGCCTAGTAATACTTTTCCAACTCTGGACTGCGTCGTTTGGTGGCTCATATTTTGTAACTGATTACCTAGTACCGTTTTATCCACTTTAAAAATAAATGTTCTAGAGAAATCAAACTTTCCGCAGAAAATAACGGTTACCTTCTTGCAATGCCTGATTGGAAATCATTGATTGCTTATTCGAAATTTCACTTCTACATATACAGTTACAGTTATTTTCCTCTTTTGTGGACATTTTTTGTCCTAAAATTTCATAAAAATGTCCACAAAAGTGGGGAGACGGACGGTGCCGGTACCAAATTGGTACCCGGTACCAAAAAATTGGTACCCGGTACCAAAGTCAAACATTATTTCTGACTCGTCAAAAAACTAATGTCCGCTCCGCGGCTGAAGTGTAAGAAAACTTCATTTATTGACCGAATACACCTTTTAAAATCAATTTTGGCTCGGTATCCTGACAATTTTTGGTACAGGGTACCAGAAATTTGGTACCGGGTACCAATTTTGGATTGGTACCGGCACCGTCCGTCCCCGCAAAAGTGGGCAACAGTCTTCCAAAAAATGTCCCGCCGTAGGGGCTCAAAATTTTTTCTTCGATAAATTTTTCGTCGAAAAATGGCAAATTTCATCATCGAAACGTATTTTTTACCTTTTTTTACCATTTTTGGTCAATTAAACAGTAAAAGCCATTGATTTCTTATAAAAAGATCCTGATTTTTGAAAAAAACACCCTATTTTTTCCTTTTAAATTTTCTCGGTTGACAAATGCGCACAAAAATGGAACATTATTCTTGCAAATATGTCCCAGAAAAACCCTCCCCCCGTCAACAATTTTCGAAAAATTTATTCGGAATTTCATAATTTTGACCCCGGAAATGGATTCTACAGGTCAAAAAACGATTTTGAGGCTTTATTTTTTGGGGGTCTATCTCGACTCTAACACCCTCAAAATCGCGTTTGAAAATCGGACTTTTTGACGAAAAATGACGAAAAAATCCCAATTTTGCTATAATTTTAGATTTTTATGGGTCAAGAAGTGCTCCGAGCAAGTTTTTATGGTAAATTGAACTTCCAGGGACGCTAAGAAGCCAAAATATGGCTTTTTTGAAATTTTCGATTTTTCGAGGAAAATTGTTGACGGGGGTCCTTCAAGAAATATTTTCATTAGAAAAATCGCGTTCAAAAATGACGCAAAATGATGATTTTCACGGACATGACTTGAAGTTGAGCTCTCTATGGCCAAACTTCCTTAATCATTTTTTCTGAAAAAATTTTAACTCTAGTTTAAGGCCAAATCTATAAGTAGAAGAAGAGTTTATAAAAATTTTCTTACCCATCTGAGCCAGAGGGCTGTTTGAAAATGGTCAATTTTCTGAAAACCGCCCGGTACCTCCTTTAAAGATTTTTATTTACATAATGTTTCAAAATTAATAAATATTGTTTGTCTCTAGAACACATTTATAAAGATGTTTTTTCGTATTTAAATACATCAGTTTTGTATTTTTAGTGTCAGCTAAGGTAAAAATCAAGTTTTTGTCGTGCGAATAATAATTTTTGAAGGCAAGTTTCTTTGTTTTCTTATAAAAACTCTTATTCATATACACTAAAAAGTCTTACCCAGAGTTCGAAATTTGTTTGCAGTACTGCCACGATTGCCACTTGCAGCTGCCAATTTTGGCAGTCACTTGGCAGTAGCAGTTACATTTTTCAAGGACTGGCAATTACTGGCAGCTGCCAATCTACTGCCACTTCGAAATTTATTGATTTTTTCTCAAATGATAAAGAATATAACGATTATAATCAAATTTTGCTACCGAGACATATTAAATTTCATTTTTCTCATCAAAAGAGACATTTTGATATCGGATTATGCTTCTGTTATATGGCCAATTCGTCAAAACGACTGTTTTGAACTTAGTTTGACTTTAAAAATCTTTATAAATAGACTATTTACTATTTAAAATAGTATCGAAACCCGCAGTTTTTGGCGGTCAACTAGCAGCTTCCGATTTTCGCAGTCAATCGGCACTGCCGATTCGGCAGTGGCAGTTGCAATTTAAGGGTAAAACATGAAATCGGCGCGGCGTGGCTGCCCGTTCAGTGCCCCGCCGTGACCTATTTTTCAGAGGTCCGTTTAATCTGAACGGAGAAAGTATTTTCATAATTCTTTTTGCGTTAAGATCATCAAAGCCTGCACTTTCATAAAGACAATTTTGAAAGAATCGTGAGCGTAGAAGTATGAAAAAATGGGATGACTTGCTCAAAGTCTATCTCCTCCCACAATTTTCGTCCGATCTTTCCCAAATTAGAACCATTTTGTAGAGCTCCGTCTACTCTACAAATTCATAGACTAACTTTTTAAATTTTAATTTTAAAGATTTTAGACGGAGCTTTGAAATGAGCGCTATCACTCCGCGGCCGCCTTTTTCACACGCTGCGCTCCTGCTAATGTCTTTTTCGAGGGAGCGCTCATTTCCAAGCTCCGTCTAAAGATCTATAAGATAAAAATTTAAAAGAAAGTCTACGAATTTGTAGAGTAGACGGCGCTCTACAAAATGGTTCTAATTTGGGAAAAATCGGACGAAAATTGTGGGAGGAGATAGACTTTGAGCAAGTCATCCCATTTTTTCATACTTCTACGCTCACAATTCTTTCAAAATTGTCCTTATGAAAGTGCAGGCCTTGATGATCATAACGCAAAAAATTATGAAAATACTTTCTTCGTTCAGATTTGACAGGTCTCTGAAAAATAGGTCACGGCGGGGCCCTGAAGGGCAGCCGCGCCGCGCCGATTTCATGTTTTACCCTTAAATAAGGCTGGAAGTCACTTGGCAGTGGAAGTCGCCATTATTTTTCAGATTTCGAACTCTGGTCTTATCACCGGCAAATTGAAAACTAATTTTATAAGGTCTCAGTAGCGGAAGTCTGAACTGACTTCAGATTTTGGCATAAAATCACCAATTTATTAAGCACTCGACGGGCCAGAGGCCCTTACGTGCGCATTTTCTGACAGAGAACTCATTGGTTTTTTCGTTCACGTTCAAAGATCGTCTGTTTTAGAGCTTATCAGTGCTCGTTAGCCCCAAAAAATCTAGTTTGACTTTAAAAATTTCGCGACAAGAATTTTTTCGGATTTCGAGTGAACAGTGATCAGTTCTTTTAAATCGCTGTTCACCGAGTGAAATTCACTCTACTGTAGACTCTGTAGAGTGAACAGTGAACAGGGGTTTTCGGCGGATTTCGAACCCTGTGCCGAGCTCTTGCTCTTATTTCGAGCCATTGGTTCGGTTAGGCGGCGCTATTCAATATCCTCGAAATTTCTGAATCATCAAAGAAAGGGTCTGTTTGCCCTTCGAAAACGTCTCTTCTGAAAAGATCTTCGGATAATATATTTTCATTTAGATTTTGGGTCTCAAGAACGAGTTTGATGGAATAAATCTGTTTAAAATTATAAAAAACGAGGGTTATTGAACAGCGCCGCCCGGTCCGTTATAAACCAGGTCTCTTTTGACAAAATCATAATCAAACAAAACTGCGCTTTAGGAAGTTTGCGAATCAATTTTCAATCTTTTTGGTAAAAGTAATTTAAAAAAACAGGAAATCTTTTACTGAAAATAATTTTGATCAAAAAAGGGGTCCTAAATAAAACATTTAGCTGTCAAGGTTGGCTTCTGATGAAGCCAAATATGGTCGCTCCAGAATCAACAAGTACGGAAAATGCTGGAGCAGATTCTGACAAAGTTGCAGAGGACGTATTGGAGCAAAATGCACCTCAAGTGAGTGGAATGGCGCCCGTTCAAGCTCATCCAGGTTATGGTCAACCTCAACCAGGAAAGAATTAAAAGTTTATTTTCCCGCTTATTTGGTCAGATAATACTATTGTTTACGATTAAATTCTTTAATTCACTGACAAAAATTATATGATTCATAGATAAGTATAGGTTGTCTGTGATTCATAGTGATTTGAAATCACTGATTTCCCAAAAATTTTAGCGGTCTACTTTTTCGGTTTATCAAATTTAGCGCGCATATAAATATTATATTTTTAGAATCAACAAATCCTGACAAGTCTGTTGAAATCATTTGATAAAAATCGGTTGTAATGGGTAAAATTGATGAATTTGTAAAAAATGACCATTTTTGGTGAATTTTCTCGAAAAGGGCCTTAATTTAAGCGGATTTTACCTGATATTTATTATTATATTTCTTTGGTAGAGTTTAACAACCCTTTAATTTTCCCGTAACAATTCGATTCTTCCTATCCAATCTTGTTTCCCGCTTTTTTGGTCAAGAGAAACCCCATCGGTTACCCCGATATTTACGATAGGTTTTATAGAAGATTTTTTATAACTTCACAAAATCATTTCTCTATACTAAAGATAATAAATTTTATCTAAATCATGTCGCAGATCGAGTCTTTATCAGCACAAATCGGCCGTATTTCCATAGAAATTCCCTGAAAATGGCCTTTATCGAAATTTTCGAATTTCAGCGCCTCCGAGTGGACGGTTTTGCTTGAGCAAATCATTTTTGTGTAGAATACCACTGTACTAGGGAATAGGAGATAGCACTCGAGCTTTCTTTAGAGCCTATATACGACGTATATTATACGTAGGGTGGCGCGCGAAAAAATCAGCTGTTTGATGTCGTCATTCCGGTCGATGACGTCTTAAAATCATCAAAAACATACAGTTATCGGTCAATATGTACTCTACGACTGTGATGACCAAAACATTTTCTTTTTGTTTCTGACTAAATTGAGTGCGCTCTTTCCAATGGTGAGCTTTGTTTTTCTCTACCTTGAGGCGCTCTGGAAATAGCTTTTTGGGTGCAAAAAATTGTACTTTCTGAGGTCACACAAACTAATTTTTTTCAGATTCGGAATTTTCAGCGTCAAAATTATAAACAATTTTCAATGGAATTTTCGGACATCAAATTTTTGGACATTTTTGCGATTTTAAGGGCTTTTCTTGGGACATTTTTTCAAAACATTTTCTACGCCAAAATATTAAATTTTCAGTTTTTTTTATCAGATATGACGTTTTTTTGTCAAAAATCTTACTTTTTCTTTAAGAATAATAGAATTGAAGGTTGATCTCATACCCCTAGAATATTTTTTGTCTTTGGAAGGAGGAGGAAAAAGAGGTTGATCAAGTTTTCATCAAAAAGAAAAATTTTAAGAGATTTGGATGGGACATTTTTTTGGGAGCGTGTATAAAATTTTTGGACATTTTTGAGAAAATCATGGGACAAAAAATGTCCAAAAATTCCATAATTAACTGTAATATAATTATATAATATAATATAATTTAGGCTCGACACAATTTCAGGAGTTAAGAAGATTTAGAGTAACAAAACCTGGAGAAACCGAAATTTTCAAACCGATTTTTAGGGTGTTAAGGGCCTCCCGGCCCCCTCAAATCCCGGCGAAAACTCGGCTTATGGCCCGGGCTTTCTTTTGACCGAGTCAGATACCCTTAATTATGACTTTAACACCCTTAAAAATCGGTTTGAAAATTTCGGTTTCTCCAGGTTTTGTTACTCCAAATCTTCTTAACTCCTGAAATTGACTTTTGCCTATAATTTATATTAAATCCAAAAATGATCCCTATACGATATATGATGCCAAAGTTGTTTTTTTCCGTGCCGGTTTTCAGTTGAAAATGGCCAAAACGGAGGAAGATCTCTTTAGTGATAAATAATCACTGATAATAAAAATCGTTTTTTTGATAAAATGTCTTTGAGCTTCGTATTTACTGCTGAAGGGACTGTCTCGAATTTTCGCCTTAATAATCAGTCAGTTTCTAATATAAAATTCACAAAAAGGATACGCTCAGCCTCAGCCTGGTTACGCACCAGCTCCTCAGCCAGGCTATGCTCCAGCTCAGCAGCCAGGGTATGCCCCGGCGCCGCAACTTGGCTATGCTCCTCAACCTGGTTATGCCCCTGCTCCTCAAGTTGATGCTTATGGACAGCCTCTTCCTCAACAAGCTCCAGTTCCTCAACCTGGATATGGCTCAGCTCAGCCCATTCCTCAACAAGCGCCGATTACTCAACAAGCACCGGTACTTCAACCTGGCAATGTACCTGCTCCTCAATATGATGCGTATGGGCAACCAATTCCTCAACAAGCACCAGTTCCTCAACCTGGATATGCACCTGCTCCTCAAGTCGATGCGTATGGGCAACCGATTCCTCAACAAGCACCTGTTCAGCCTGGCTATGCTCCTGCTCCTCAAGTCGATGCATACGGAAATCCGATCCAACAACAAGTAGCTCCTGTTCAACCAGTTCAACCAATTCCTCCTGTTGCTCCTCAAGTAAATCCTAATGGGCAGCCACTTCAGTCTTTGGTCACGAAAAAATAATTTGATATCAACAAAGATAAATCTTGGGCGTTAAGGGCGTCCCAAACGACTTTGTTAGAGTTTGAATTTTTTTAAAAAATTTAAGGATAAAAAAAGGAAGAAAAAGTCCGTAGAATTTAATAGTAAAGAATTTCGGTCTTTGAATCAAGGAAAAAGAAAAAAATCAGATTTTCATAGGACTGTTTATTTGAATCTCAACGTGCAAATTTTCAACAGTCAAGTTTTGACCAGTTATTAATGTAAGTTCTGGATATTTTGTCTCGCACGATTTGCGCAAAAATGTCCAAGAATTTGATGCATTGCCAGAAAAAAATGTCCTATCCAAATCGCTTAAATTATTTTATCTTCTTTCAGAAACCTGTTTCATTTCTTATTCCTCCTTCTCAAGAACAAAATAAAGTTCTCGTGGCTTTTGTGTAACCTTCAATCTCAACAAGAGCTTTTCAAAAGTGTCGCGAGAAAACCTCTTAAAATTGTCCAGAATTTCCATAAATAATTGTTATATAATCTCATAAAAAATAGAAATATTTCGTGACCTGTTGAAGCCACCAATTGCAATACAGCCCCAAGCTGATGAGAATCAAAATAAAAGCCAGGAAGAATCTGAGACTGCCAAAGAAAGTTCTGCACCAGTTCGACAATCAATCATCATCAATGTTCAGCAAAATGTTGGCTGGGCACCTGAGCCAGAAAATATTCCAGAAGATCTTCCTTATGGACTCGAGTATCTGTATAACGTGAAAAAACTGACTATCGAGCAACAAGTTGAAGCTTTTGAGACTTACTCTGGCTTCGAAACAGCTAATCAATACAAGGCAAGTGTTTTTATTCACGACTTATAAGGGTGAAGTAGGGTTACCGTTAAAAACCTTTTATGAGCAAAAAATTTATCGCGGAAAATATGGCATGCGTCTTTATTTAAATTATTTTAATAATTTTGTTGACGAAAAGATAATTGAAAGTTTCGATTTTACACTACGTCTCAGGCAGTTATCCGCATAGACCGAGAGATAGAAGTGTATTAATGGATAATTTTAATAAGATTGCTTCACTTTACCTTATTGGCCGTTAGCAATGGCTGATTAAGGACCTCCCCCGTCAGCTTTTTCCTTCGAAAAGCTTAAAATTTTCAAAAAACCATGCAAGAGCCATTCGGTTCTCAATGCGTCCTCAGGTTAACCTTCACAAACTTGAGAGAAGGAATTCTTGACAAATAAAAATCAATATTTTTGCCAAAATTAGGGCAAATTCGTCAATTTTCGGAGATAAGTCTAACTTTTAAATGCCATTTTGGAGTCGAGATAGACCCCAAAAAATCGAAGCCTCAATATCGTTTTTTGACCTGTATTATTCATTTCAAAGGTAAAAATTTTTAAATTCCAAAATCTGATTCTTCGAAAAAACTGACGGGGGTCCTTAAGACAGAATCCGAAAAATAACTTTTTTGGTTTCGCCCCAAGAGTTCGAAATTTCGGGAACCCTCGACTCGCCGGGACTTTCGGGTACCCTCCCAATCCCTGGGCAAAATCGAAAACCCAGGGATTCGGAGGGTCAAATCCAAAGTGTTCTAGAAAAAGCTTTTAGCTGTTTTAAATCAGATTCATTGATTAGTTTTCTCTAAAAATTTGTTAGGGTTGAAAGCAAAACAACTTTAGCATACTTATTAAATGTTCTAAATGTAATATTGGTGACTCACAAATTGTGAGCATATACTATTGATGAAATTGAAATGATTTTAAAAATACTTTTTGCTTTCATTCAATTTTCTTCTTTTAAGGGTTAGTGTTTAATCAAATATGACATACAAGCTATCTTATAAAATGCGTAATTTTTGATATATTTTGAAAAATGATAAATTAAAGATGTTTTTTGATCATTTGTAGGGGTTTTCTAGAACATCACCCTCCGAATCCCTGGACTTTCGCCAAAAACCCAGGGATTCGGAGGGTGCCCAGGGATTCGGAGGGTCACCCGGGACTTTCCATATTTTTTCCCGGCGAGTCGAGGGTGTTCTAGAGATTGCTAGAATCGCCAATTATACCCATTATTAACGCTTAAATATTGTATATATATATTATATATATATATATATATATATATATATATATTCTTAATCATTCCTTATCAAATATTTCCCAGAGAAAAGGTAAAGTAAGAGCTATTGTTTTGGTTTATGGTTAGGGTTTAGGAAAATTGTCGAGGAATTGTGCTTAGCGATAAGTGATAGGGTTAGGCTAATTGACCCTCGACTCGCCGGGATTCTGTCTGCATATTTTTTCCCTGCGAGTCGAGGGTCAGGCGAAAATCGCGGCGAGTCGAGGGTCTCCCCGAAATTTTCTGGCAGTAATGTCACGACTGCCACTGACAGCTTCCAAAGATATTTTGTTTTCTTTCTAGAATGACAAAGAAAAAAAACGTCAATGATCAAATTTTTCTCCCGAGACCAAATTTATTCCGTTTCTCTTCTCAAAAGAGACATTTATATTTCAAATAATGTTTATTTTATATGTTAAACTTGTCAAAAAGACTGCGTTCAACCTAGTTTGATCTTAAAAAATTGTATAAATACTTTTAAAATTGGAATTTTTTGACAGTCAGCTGCCGATTTTGGCAGTAACTTGGCAGTGGTAGTCGCTATTTTCTTTCAGATTTTTAACTCTGTTTGCCCCAATAATACATATTTTTGAAAATTTTGGTAACAATGATTTTTTCTCCAAATATAAGTAAATCAATTAATACTGTATTCTTTGAAACGCTTTCATTTTTTCCGTCTTTCGGAAAAGACTTTTTTCAAATCAGTTTTTAGATCAAAAACAGTAAAGGTGATCAAGTTTTTTATGCTGGAGAAAAAAGTGGGTTCTGTGCAAGAAACTGTTGCGGAGCAAACCGAGATTTCGACATGGCTATTACAAACAATCATGGAGAAGAAATTGCCAGATTCGTTCGACCTTTTAAGCCTCAAGTGAGATGTGGCTTGATTTATTCGCCATTGTTTCTTCAAAAAATGGGTATGTCACAAACGTGTTTTTCAATTCAAACAAAAAAAAAACAAAATTTTTCATTTAACAGGCGCCTGATTTTAGATTAAACATTATCTTTCAACATTTCTAAATCAAACCGGGCCAAGGACCTTGGCCAAAGGTATAGTGTGTTGCGCAGGTAATGTGACTCTTAAGGGTAGAAGAGGATCCTTGCGCGCGCCCCTTTGACGCTATTTCTCATCCTCAGAGAATCTGATGGGATTATTATGCACCAAAATTTGTTTTTGAAAGGTATACTCAAACTAAGTAAGTAGTACTACTAAGTAATATTTTTAAAATTTTGATTTTCGTAATTTGAAATAAAAAAGTAAATACATAACTAACATACACAGTTAATTTATACTGAAAGAATTTTGTTGCAAAAAGATTCAGTTTTTAAAAAAAATTCCCAATCCAAATTATTCAGGTAACTAATTGACATTTATCATTAGATATTTTAACAAATGGAAATATTGTTGGGAAAATCCGTCAAGTTGCTGATTTGTCAAAGCCGATTTTTTCCATTCAAACCGCAGACGATCAAGAAGTTCTTCGACTAACTGGCCCGGCTTTGTCATTCGCCTGCTGTGGCGATCTTGAGTTTGAAGTCTCCACTGCTGATGGCGTTGTTGTTGGTAAAGTTTCAAAGAAATGGGAAGACACTGGCGGAGAATTTTTGAAAGAGATTTACACAGATGCGGACAAGTTTGGAGTCACTTTTCCGGTCGATTTGGATGTCAATGTCAAGCTTTCTCTTCTTGGCTGCGTTTTCCTCCTTGTAAGGCGAAATTCTTTTGATGAAAATAAAATGTTTTTAGGATTTCATGTTTTTTGAAGATTCTTGCAAATGGACTTCTCACGCAAAAGATGAGGAAGAAGGAAGCGGCAGCTCAAAGCTAGACTTCCTCATGTGCATATGCGACTTTATGTGTAGCGATGACTGATTATAAATCATTTTGCTGCGAGAAAATACACTGTTATCATTTTCAATATGCGGTCTCGAATTTTTCACATTCTTTTTGATGGAATTTAAAGATTTTGGAATTCATTTTTTTCCCGTAGAAAATTAAATTTGCGAGTCATTTTCGGCGTAAAAGAAAGAGGTTTTGTCAAAAAAATCAAATTATGAATTTTCTGCAAATTATCAAAACGAGAGACATTATTCTTCTACATTACGTTTCTTTTATAAAGTCGACATGTTAAACAAATCTTTTGATCTTAGTTTGTCCTTCTAAATATCTATACCTCGGATACCTGATTTAAGGGGGGGGGGGTCGACGAGAATCGGGATTTCCGTGACCAAAAATGCGGGAAAACCTGAGTAGATAGGGAAAATCTGATTTTATTGGGGGATAGAAAAGGGTTGAAAAAATCAGGCGGCGAAAACTAGAAAAAATTCTGACCAGAAAAAATCGGTCAAAAATCCCCTCAAAGTAGGGCCATTTTCGCGAAAAAGCACTATAAATGGTCAATTTCTTTACAATTTTGTTCATTTCACCCCCTAAATCTAATTTTTATCAAATGATTTTAGGCTCAACAGATTCAGGAGGATCTGTAGATTCCAAAAATATAAGATTCGTATTCAGACTATGAGTATAAGCGAAATTACGATCTCGCCGGAAAAAATTCTCGTCGACCCCCCCTTAAGGCACCCCAATTTAAGGCACAAATTTGCTTACTCCTGCAACCATCGAACTCTAATTTAAGGCATATTATATCATATTATTTATATGCCGCATATATTTTCGGTGATTAGATTCCTCAAGGGTCTTGTTATTTGGATCGCATGGTCTTTGGACTTCAAAAACTAATCCAGAGGTATTTTATGGGGCCTACATCCAGAGGTATTAGCGTCTACCCGACGCTGCTCGGCACTCCCTTCCATGCCTTTTGCAACAAAAAAAGATGTTTTGTTCTCATTCGAAATTGTCTACTCTTAGATGAGAGCAGAGTTCGAAATCTGAAAGAAAATGGCGACTGCCACTGCCAAGCGACTGCCAACTTTTTTTAAATGGCGACTGCCACTGCTAAGTGACTGCCAAATACTGCCGATTTCGATACTATTTTTAAAAATTTTTAAACACAAACTAAGTTCAAAACAGTCTTTTCGACAAGTTAAACATATAAAAGAGACGATATCTGAGATTTAAATGTCTCTTCTGATTAAAAAAATTGAATAAAACAGGTTTCGGGAGCGAATTTGAATCATAAGCGTTGTTTTTTGTGGTTCTAGAAAGAAAACTTTAGAAAGAAATTAATATCTTTCGAAGTGGCAGTCGGTTGGCAGCTGCCAGTAACTGCCAGCACTTGAAAAATGTAACTGCCACTGCCAAGTGACTGCCGAAATTGGCAGCTGCCAGTGGCAGTCGTGGCAGTACTGCCAACAAATTTCGAACTCTGGATGAGAGTATTCTTCTTTTTCTGAGCTGTAAAGTTTATTCTGTACTAGGGCTGGTGAAGGCACTTTTGTAGACGAAACGCGTCCCCAATAAAAAACGTATCTATCAATAAGGAGAAACGCCGTTTAGAGACACGAAAAAAAGCATAATTTGGCAAAAATTTTATTTTTATACCGTCAACTCCCCACTTCCTTAAATCAGGTATCCGAGGTATAAGGAATCGAAATTCTATAAAAATAATTGCGGTTGTTATTTCAAAAAGCTAGCAATCATTTGGCTTTCCGCATCATACAGCGTTTTCTGGATAATTTATTTGCTGAAAATTATAGTGAATTTAGGGATCCCCCTGTTTTTCAAGTACTTGATGAGGGTCTATATTTGATATTTTTAGATTCCTCGTGCTCTGAGGATCATTTTGATGTATAATATTACCTCTTTACGAACATCTTTCCTCAAAATATTAGCCTTCAAAAATTTCGAAAATGCATGGAAATTGTACTTAGCTCATTTATTGGCAGCGACTAGTTTCGGAGATAGATTCCTTCGTCAGGCTATAAGGTCAATGAACAGTTAACCCAGAAACAAGATGTTACCTCTGAGAAGCGAAAAGCGCGTCTGAGTAACAAGCGAGATTACAAAACGAGATATTTGAGCGTAACAGAAATTGCAAAAGGGGCGCCAAGGATGCACAGTTAGCGTACAATGCAAGAATACTTCTAAGTGTGTCAGCTAGATGTCCCTTTCTAGAACTGTTTACTTTTACTTTTTGAAGCGCAACAAATAGTCAGTTATGAATTTTTACAACGGCTACCAGGGTTTGTGAATAAGGGATTGACTGAAATTTTGAAATTTTGAAGAAAATCAGTAATCCCGCTCCCTCCGTGCTCCCAAAAAAGGGAGCTCCCAATTTTACTCCTTTTTTTCAAATTTCAATATTTGATTTAGTTTTTCATTTTATTTATTATATTCACAGTGGCAACATCATCGTTCAAAATTCATCATCAAGGGTTCAAAATTTGCTGTTTTCTCTGTTCACTCTGTGAATTTCACGGTGAACGGAGATTTCGAATTGCTGTTCACTCTAGAGTAGGGATCGGGAAAAATTATTGGCATGAAAAGTGTACAGCGATTTGAAAAAGCAAGTGAGCAGTGAACTATTCACTCTGTTCACTCGACTTGTTTTGCCAAATTTACTTTGTCATCGATAATTTGAGTCAAAATTTTTGACTCCGAAACTCGGCAGAAGATTGCTGTGAAAAAGCAACAATTGTGTTCTAGAATGTATTTTTGCGAAAAAAATGTAACGAGAGTACATCTGTTAATATGATCTAACGAAAGAGACGATTTTTTATCCTCTCATTTTTTTAACCGTCTCTTTTTAATAATAAGAAAGCTATTTTGCTTCGAAAATCTTAGTTAACCAAAAAAAATTTTTGTCTGATTTCGTGCAGAGTGAACTGTTCAATCTATTCACTTGATTGAACACTGAACAGGACTTTCGAATCCCTGTTCACTCAAGAATGAAAAGTAAACAGTATTTTGAGATTGCTGTTCATCTCAGAGTGAACAGTGAAGGGGGGTTTCGGCGGATTTCGAACCCTGATCGGTTTATTGGATGAGCAGACTTCAACGATTTCTTCTTTGCATTTATTCTTTTGAAATTATGAATTTCAATGAAGATGATTTTTAATTTTTATTTGAATAAAATTTTCAAAGAAACATTTTAAAATATATCGAATCATATAATAACGTCTTTTTTTTGTATAAATTCGTGCGGGCGTTGCATCTATTTTCATAATTATGTCCATAATCTGAGATTTTATTTTTTTTTAAATTATAAGAAAGAAACAAGCGGTTAAATCCTTCAACCTTTCGGGATCCCGAATGTTTTTGTCTTCAAACCGGGGACGCTCGATTTGTGTACCAAATTTTTTTGGTATTCGAATACCAATTTTTGGTATTCCAATACCAAATTTTTTTTACCAGATCATAGTTTTTCCTTCAAAAAACTAGTAAACCACTTCTAAAGTTTCCTTCATGACAGGCGCGGAGCGCATAGGGTCTCTTTAGGTGTATCAAATTTGGACTTTTTGACGAAATTTGGTATTCGAATACCAATTTTGGTATTTGAATACCAAATTTCGTCCCAAAGTGTCTCCCCTTCAAACCTTTCGGGGATGATTTTCAATAGTTTCTATCCCAGAAAATATTTGAAGCCAAACAGTAACGTCAAAGTACATATTTATTGAAGAAAATGGAGGCGCGAAGGAAAAAAAATAATTAACTCGAAAAAAATGGATCTCATAAAGTTCTCTGTAAAACAGGCGCGGAGCGCAAACATTCTCTTTTACTACAAATTCAATATTTATAAATGGTCTGGCCTTCTTAGACCATCGAATTTGACGAAGGAAGATAGAGTTATCATTTTTGATTAGTAAAATGACCTAATTCTGCATTTATGCCACTTTTTTTAACGTTATCCTCAACAAAACTCCCGAAAGATTCGGGCGATCCCGAAAGTTTCGGGAAATCCCGAAAGATTCGGGATCCCGAAAGGTTGGAAGTGACAACCGAAACAAGCTAAATCAGTTTCTTCCAATTCATTCATTTCTGGTCACTCGTCTGGGATTGACACTAGGTTCATGTTCGAGTTAAGGTTTCGGACTCTCTTTTGGTTAGGGTTAAGGTTTCACTTCGGGCATTCTATTGATCAAAAGATGGCGTGATTCTAGCACCCTTATTCGGCAATCCTGGCGGCAACAATAATGAAGACAGGAACCATCAGTGTTCGTCGGGTCTTCAGCAAGCTTCCAATGCAGCAGTAGAGGATCATTTTGGAGGGCAAGAGAGGTCGCAATGTAGTGGTCTTCCTGCATCTCACCAAGGTCAACCTGGAAATCAACAGTATCCTCCTATTGGAGAAATTTCACCTACTCTCTATTCGAGTTATGCAATTCCTTCAATAAGCGCGGTTGGTAGTGTTATGGGGCCTGTTCGTGTTCTCGATGAATATGTTTTACAAGACTTGCAAAAGCTTTTCAGGTTCACCGGTTTCGAATTGGGCTTCAAATAGCTTAAAAATTGTTCGAAACCAAACTAAGATCACCAATACGCGCTGATATAGATGAACGAAGAGCGATTCTTCGACAATATATTCAAGTCTTAAAGAGCCGTGATATCAAAATTCGAGAAACTTACCAAGAAGACGGAGCAGGAGACAATCCTCGCTCTGTGACAGTTTACGTGCCAACCAAGTTACCCCTGACCGCTGAAAATTTCGCAAAGGGAAACCCTGAATTTGTTTATTATTTTATAAAGCATGTTCTTCCGGGTAAACTTATTTATTATTATTCGGTTTCAATTTAATTTAGGCGGACCCAAATATATCAATTATGGCTGCTGTCCGCATCCATTTGATAACCGATTATATCGATATCCAGTCATCTCAACTGGATGCGGCTACAAATCTGGCTGGAATGAAAACATGCCTCTTTCAGAAGAAGACGAAATGCTGATGGAATGCGTAAGCGATTCAATCGGAAATTTATACTTATGAAATGTTTAAGACTGGTTGGAATCAAGCTCAACTTTGGGAAGGGATGAAAAGAGTTCAATCAGCATGTAGGTTTTAATTTTCATAGTTAGAAATTGCGACAGTTGAAAATGTCATGAGTGTCAAAAGAACATGTTTCTTTTGATGATTTATCACTAGGCCTCGGACGTAAAAAAGACGATTTTCACCATCCGGTCATCGTCCGGGAACATGAGAGGGCTCATTCGAAAGGTTTTGATAAGGGCTTTCTATTTGTCCGATAAAAAAACTGGACCCTCCCTTTCTGTTACGAGTTATTATGAAAAATATTTTTCGAAGCTTACCTTCAAAATCAAATATCTCGAAAAAGAAGGACAGGGCCCATTTTTTTATAAGACCAACAGAAAGCCCTGTTCAAGAGCTTTCGAATGAGCCTACTCTTGTTACCGTACGACGACCGGCTGGTGGTGATGATTTTTTACGTCCGAGGCCTATTTATCACCATCATTTCGATTTTTAACAAATTAATCAATTTCTTTAGTTTTTTTTGTTTATTATTATTACCGCTTAATTCCTTTTTTTATAACGGACCCCCTCAGCTTCTTTCAAAAAATCAAATTTCGAAATCTTTAAAAACCGAAAATATGGTGAAAAAGATGATTTGGGGGTTCCTTAAATTCAAAATATTCGTGAAGGTCATAAAATGAGTTTTCAGTGGATTCAAGTCATTGCTGTGCACTCTATTTCAAACTTGTCGTCTGCGCGTTCATCTTGTTCTTTTTCGTTATGGCGTTCATTGACCCTACTCATCCTTTTCATGATGCTCTTGCTGGCTAAAAATCAGATGAACTGCTACTTGAGTCAATAAATGATTATTATCTTTTCTTAATAACATCGAAATAAAATGAGAGTGCAGTCACTCAAAATGAAATCGCGGTATATGATTCAGTGACGACGTGATTAAGACTTTATTTTCTGATACAACCTTACGTTCACAAACGGGAAATTCAACCAACTATCGGGGGGCGGTCAGCCGTTACAAAAGTGGAATTGGTACAGCGGGTACAAATTTTGTACCCCCGGTACAAGGAGTCGTAATTTTTTTGAAAATAAATACCGATTTCTACCCATTATAATGCGAATTTTCGGACAGAACTCCACCTCAGCTATACCAGTAAGGGGTTTCCTTCAATTCTAGCGCGAACCTCAAACTAATTCTTTGATTTTATTTCTGGTCTGTACCGGCGGTACAAAAATTTTTGTACCGACATTATTAATTTGTACCGTCGCCACCCCACACTTTAACTATCTGGCAAAAGGGTTAAAAAATTATAAAACCTCTGTTCACTTTTCACTCTCTTTACTCTGTCCAAAACCGAAAAAAAAATTTTTTTTGGAATATTTTTTAAGTTAACCTATTTTTTTTAAGTTAATGCAAACTATTAAGTCTGAAAAGAGATGTTTTACGCAGTGACAGGATAAAAAATCGTCTCTTCTGATAATTCTTAGATTTAATTGTATACTTTTTTTGAAGTTTGCTGATCTCTAGAATGTGTGCAGAGAATGTTGTGAAAATGGTAAACGCAATCAGTTACAAGTTATGAGTTATTTTGACGACGACAAGTACGGGGATGTAACCGATCCGGTGGGATCAGCATTTGATTCGGGTGACAGCTTCCAGCCTCAAGATACATCCGTAACAATCCCACAACCATCAGAACAACCGAAGTGGGCCATGGCTCCTCGTATTTTTCCTTCGAGTCAACAAGAAGAACACGTTGAAATTAATGAAGCGCCTATTTATCGAGCTCCAGAAATCGTTGTCGATTCGAAGATAAGTTACCTAGGGACAATCGAGAAAAAATTCAGGAAATTGATTTCAACGAAAGACATTTAACCTAAAAATTTTCTTTAGAGCGCTTGTAGAAGGGTTCGAAATCCGCCGAAAACGCAGAGTGAAAAGCGAATTACGAACTCTGACGTGAACAGAAATTTAAAGACTTTAATTTTCTTAGGGAACTAACCATGGCCCGTGTAAAGTGACCTTGTCGAGCTAGCTGAGACGCTATTTCACACGCGCCATTTTATTTTCTGAATATAAATGATAAAGCGAAAGAATCGGTAATCCGGAGTTATTAGCGCGCGCGTTGGGGGAATCGTGCGCAATCGGAAAACACATTTTTCTCATTTTTGAAAACCCACCATTCCCATCTTTAAGGAAAACCAACTTTCCCATCTTTGAAACCCATCTTTCCAATCATTCCCACCTTTCCCATCTTTCGGAAAACCCATCTTTCCCTATCCCATCTTTTGTTTGAAAGATGAGTTCCCGACCGAAGCTCGACAGGTTATTGTTATCATAACCCCACAAGCCAATTTTTTTTTTCGAGAATCGTCTGCTCTTTCTTCTGAATGTATCTTTTATTTCGTACGATGAAAATGAGGGAGCTAATCATTTGATCATTTCCAGGAGATAGCTCAGCCTTTAATCTTTCAATTCATGTCCTTTCGAAAATTTTATCACGACTGTTAGACCCTAGAAAAGCCCGACCTATGCGTAGGTCGATATGCGGGCAGAAGTGACAAATTTTTCACGCGGGCAGGGGTTAAGAGGGGGGTCGCCAATATTCGAATAACGGAAAAACAAGAAAGCGGGAAAATCTGATTGTATTAAAAACATTTGATTTCTTAGGTAAAAAGGGAAGGATGGAAAGAATTCATCGGCGAGTAGAAAAAAAAATTCTTGGAAAACTTTCTCAAAAAATAAGGTTAAACTGGGGGCGTCTCCCGAAAAAAAATCTCGAAACCCTTAATTTTTTATTGACAATCAAGTTTTATTTACAGATAGATAGGACCCTTAAGGAGGGGGTCGTTGATATGAAAACTTTTCGACTTTGAAAATTTTGACCAGATTTTGAATTACTCATGAAAAAATAAAATTTTTTGGTTCCTGGCTTTCTTTGATTGGTCAACGTTAAAGCTCGCCTTTTTTGCGCGAGATACTGGGTCAGAATATCAATTGGTGTTCAAATCAGAGTTCGAAATCTATGGGAGTAAAATTGGGAGCTTCCAAAGGGAGCTCCCTTTTTTGGGAGCACGGAGGGAGCAGGAGCACAGGTTTTCAGGGCTGGGAGTAAATTGGGAGCTCCCCAAATAATAATAATTATTAGCTTAATAATTATTAATTATGATACCGTGATTGCTCAGATTTTTATTAGAAGAGACGTTTTTTTTATTAGATTTATTTTTAAATGTCTCTTCTGAAATTTGATATCAATAAATAGCCTAAAATTGACCTAAATTTGGTTATGTAATTTTAATAAGAAAATATTGAAGTCATTCACGAAATTCGCCTATTTGGCATTATGCCTATTTATACTTTCTTTATCATTGCTATATAATAACCATACAACGATGGTTTTGCTACTTAGACTTTACTTAATAAAATTAAAAACTTTCGAAAATTTTTGAAATTTGAAAAAAGGGAGCAAAATTGGGAGCTCCCAAAGGGAGCTCCCTTTTTTGGGAGCAGGGAGGGAGCAGGAGCACGGGTTTTTTACGAGGGAGCTCCCTTTTTTTCAGGGTGAGGGAGCAGGGAGGGAGCGGGAGCACGGATTTTCTACCAGATTTCGAACTCTGGTTCAAATACAAATTTTAGGTATTCAGTAAAAAATAAGGTCCGAATCCGCGGAAGAATACTTATTTAGACCACCAAAAATTGTGAGTGTGCGCGACGCGCCTTAATTAATATATTTTTTTTAGTAGAAAAAAATTTGTATAAAAATACCGCGGGAAAACAAAAGCACTGTAGACGATCTGAAATAAAGTCATAAATACTCAAATTAACCCTTTGTGATAAGAAACGAAGTCTACCGATCTACAAATTCTGATTCTATCTCGAAATCGATCGAAGAGCTAAAAAGGGAGACGATATCCAAGTGCGAAAAGAACGACTTATTCAGTTTTTACAGATTATTCAAAACCGCCACATTACTGTCTTTCAAACTCCAACTCTGGAACCAGAATTTTATCTCTCTGCTGACAATTTTCGAGAAGCAGATCCTGATTTCGTTGCATATGTTATTTCTAAAATTCTTCCAGGTAAAAATTCAACTTCTTCAGATTAAATCAGAATATTTCCTAAGGCTGCAAATTGCCGGAAACCTTAGTCAAACCCTGCAATTTTTACGACGACCGTCTCTATCAGTTTTCGATTCGAAAAACCGCCTGCTGTTGTTTAAACAAGCCAGAGTGGGATGACTTAATGCCGCCTTCAGAAGAGGACCTGATGATCATGGAAGTTGTAAGTTCTTTTAATCCCATTGGATTCACAACTTTTTGATTTAGACTGGTTGGACCAAAAGACAGCTTTACAAAGGGATGAATAAGGCGCAAGAGGATCGTAAGATAAAAGATATTCTTATTTCTGACTCAAAATTATATTTTAAGTGATGGGACAATATGTGTCAACAATTTTTTTGCGATTTTTTCTTTACATCTTCATTATTCAAGTTGTGACTATACTGAGCTTGATGAAAGCTGGAATTATTTAGTTGTTAACTGTCACATATAAATAAAGAGAAAACTTTTTATTCAAAAGATAAGAAAACATATAACACTTTCTTGTTGATCACACTTATTGAATCAGAAGGGTCCTCTAAATACGGCTAAATCTTAAGCTTGAGGGTCCCCCCGTCAACAATTTTCGAAAAATTTATTTTCGGAATTTCACAAAATTGGACTTTTTGACGAAAAATGACGAAAAAGTCCCAATTTTGCTTTAATTTTAGATTCTTATTGGTCAAGAAGTTCTCCGAACAAGTTTTTATGATAAATTGAACTTTCAGGCACGCTTAGAAGCCAAAATATGGCTTTTTTGAAATTTTCGATTTTTCGAGGAAAATTGTTGACGGGGGGGTCCTTAAATATTGCTAAATCGTTGGAAAAGCATCCCCTAAAGAACATGTATTATGATGGCATAAAAAAATGTTTTTCTTTTATGAAACATATGTTTTAGACTTTTCAATTTGTTAAAAAGATAATTTTTGTTGCGCAGCATGGCTCTGCCATTCACCACTAATACAATTCGCCCACGCAATTTAAAGCTTCATTTCCCCAGAGCTCCATCTCCCCAGAGCTTCATTTCCCCAAGAGTTTCATTTGCCCAGGCTAAGGAGAACGTCTCTTAGTGTTCGTTAGCTTAAGGGGTCCCCCTCCGGAATTTCAAATCTTGATGACGGGCCCTTCTGAGACATATTTAGATTCCCCGTGTTCTGTGCATCATTTTGATGTATTATAGTCCCCCCTTACAAATATCTTAACCCAAAACTTTAGCCTTCGAAAATCGCAAAAATGCATGTAAATTGTACTTAGCGTGAAAATCGTAATTTGTTCGACTTTTCAATGTCCTCAAAAATATACAAATAAGGGGTCTATCGAAAGCTCAGAATGTACTGAGTAAGAATATAATACCCGCACAAGAATTTTCGGCCATAATTCGGCGCTAGAGAGCAATTTAATGCCAAAAATAGGCGAAAATGGGTTTGAATAGTTTTTCTTAAGAAAAATTTTTTCTCACTTGATCAATCATGGTAAAGCTACTTGCAAATTCAGATAAGCGTCTACTCTTTCGAGTCTGCAAGTTTTAAGAGCAAAACAAAAGCCCAATGAAATTTTATTTCGGCTTGAAAACACCCCAAAAAGGCGTTTTCTGAAAATTCGAATTTTTCAAGAGCCTCTGGTGGCACGTTTGGGATTCGGAAAAGAGCTAACGCTACTTGCAAATTGCAATGAAGGCCTAAACTTTCACATGCAATTGAAATTAGATAAATTCACAATGCCAAACAAAAGTTATTTCGAGTCAAAGTTGGCGATTCCGGGGGAGGATCCCTTAAAAGAAATCTAGTTTGACTTTAAAAAATATGCAAAAAAATAATTTTTCCAGATTTTTGGCAAAATGAACAGTTCAGTCTGGCCATCATTGTTGGGGGTAGGAGAATGGCGTTCCTAAAATTAGGAACGGTTCCTAAATTTAGGATCGGTTCCTAAAATTAGGAACGCCATTTCAACTTCTGTTGAGTCAACAGAGACTCCAATCAACCGTACTACAAAGACCGTTCTCTATGTGAAGCGTTTTCAATCAAATTAAAAGATCCAAGCATAAATAAGCAAATCAAATTCGCTGAAGTTAAATTTCTGTAATGGAGCATTTGAAACTCGCTTTCTCTGGCGCTCCATTACATCTGCCGCGAAAGCGAGTTTTCATCTTTTGTTTTCAACTTTCGATCTCATTCGAAATTGTCCAACTCTAGGTGAGAGTATTCTTTCATTTTTCTGAGCTGTGAAATTTATATCTGTACTAGGGGCTGATGAAGGCACAATAGTCGCCGAAACGCGTACCCCAAATAAATTACGAATCAAATAATTTTCGAAAAATCTATTTTCGGAATTTTTAAATTTTTACCCCGGAAATGGATTCTACAGGTCAAAAAACGATTTTGAAGCTTCATTTTTTGGGGTGTAGGGCGGCCACGTTCTGCAGCAGAACGGCGTTCTGCAAATGCTGAATGGCGTTCTGCACTCAAAAAATATATGCGCTTCACGCCTGTCTTAAAGGAAATCCCAGAATTTCTTTAATCAGGAGTTACTCTTTAAGCTTAGATGAATGCGTTAAAACTAATAAGAATCAAGTTATATCGTAAAAAAAATCTTTATGCAGAACGCCATTCTGCATTTGCAGAACGCCGTTCTGGCAGAACGTCGCCGCCCGTCACCCCATTTTTTGGGAAAACCTGAAATTGTCAACAAGGCCATCAAGGCCATCACGGCCATCAGGGCCATCGAGGCCATCAAGACCATTTGAGAAATAAACAAAAGTTCCCATAACCTGAATTTGTCAACAACGCCATCAAGGCCATCAATTCTAGAAAGTTGCTTCTGAGGTTTCCTTTAAGACAGGCGCGGAGCGCACACCCGCTTTTTCTGCTTTCTGATCGTCGATTTTTGCTTCAAAAGCACAAAAATTGATCTGCTTCCTAAGCAGTGTCCTTAAGAATAGCGGAAGCAATTTTAAATTCAAATCTTAGTTAATAATTCAGCTAAGCAGTATTATCTAGAACGTTTCTAGAACCGCGCTTATAAAAACAATAACAACCAAATCTACAAAACTTCGCAAAACCTGAAATTGGGAATTGATGGCCGTGATGGCCTTGATGGCCCTGTTGACAATTTCAGGTTCGTCCCCAAAAAATGGGTCTATCTCGACTCTAACACCCTTAAAATCGCGTTTGAAAATCGGACTTTTTGACGAAAAATGACGAAAAAGTCCAAATTTTACTAAAATTACAGATTTTTATTGGTAAAAAAGTACTCCTGACAAGTTTTTATCATGAATTTAGTAGTTCTGTCTTTGCATCACTCAAGCACTGAAGAAGCCGTAAGGCGAAAAGCTTCTGCAAATAAGTGATATGTATGAAATTCGTTTAAATATCACGGGACTCGTGATCTTTGTGGTTGGAAATTTGCGAAAAACTGTTTCTACCCCCTTAAACCTTCTTCTAAAAGTAAAGAAAAAAATTGTTTAAAATATTCGTTTGACTATTATGTTTGATTGTTAATACTGTCTGTCAATCTATTGAAAATGGCAGTAGATTTGAAGCTGCTTTGAAAATATCCGTGTTCTCGGATAAAGAGAATAAAGAGAGAGGTTAGATTTTCCGTAAATTAGATTTGACGTATCTTAGATTTTACGTATATTAGATTTTCCGTAACTCACGGAAAATCAAATTTCACGGAGTTTTTCCGTGAGTCACGGAAAATCGAATCTACGGGAATTCGAATCTCTAAAGGAAAAGTATTGGATAAAAAATTACTGAATGTACAGCTTAGACGTTATTTTCGAAATAAACATTTTCTGAATTCTCAATCTCAAAAAGACCACAAAGGCTGAGCAGGAGATTAAATTTAAGTACTTTTTGATGAGACCAAGAGGTGCGATTGATTATTATTTTCCGGGAGAAACTATTTTATTGAGATACAGAAGGATTTATAAGAATTTTGATGAGTCATTATCAATGATGAGTCTTCAAATTTACATAGGTTGAGCAGCGATTGGCTGGACGATGGTCTTTGGTGGTCGAGTCTGGAGTTCGTGCTGGACGATAACGCACAAGGAGCAGAACCAGACGGTGAGGAATTCGACGGCGGGGGAAGCCATTGGGATGCCGTATTTCTCCTTGATTTCCTTTCGCTGCTTGAAGAGCATGATGGAAGTCAGCTAAAAATAAATTAAGAAAGTGATTCTTACAAAAACTTTAAGGTTTCCCCCCTGATTATTTCGCCTTTTGATTATATACAAATGTCGCCGTTATATAAAAAATGTTTTTTATCAAAGAAAAATCGTTCCAGAGAATGATTTTCTTTTAAATAATGAAAGGCAAAAAGTCATTCCAAGTGACAAAATAATAAGTTAATCTTTTTGTCACCTTATTAAGTTTTTAGTAACTTACGATTGAACCAATGGCGTTGATTGTAGGCATGATGTTGTTGACCATCATTGGAGTAAAGGTGACAAATTTAGATAGAGGTTGCATCCAGATCCAATTGTATCGTCCAGAAAGTTCACCAAGAGCAACAGTTCCAGTTCGGAGGCCGTTCTTGCTCTTGTCGAGTCGAGCCTGGGTGGAGTTGACAACAAGGCAGGGACAAATGATTGCTTTGCAGCAGAGCCCGAAATCGCAATGGAAGAGTGAGGAATTAAACTGACCCTTTTTGATGGTCATTAAAGTGAAGAATAAAATAAAAATAAAAGAAATATTTTGAACATATATCTTCGTTAAGCATGAGCCTCAATAGACTATTGACAATAGTGAATCCCCGAAAAATAAGAAGCAATTTTATGCTAGATTAAGGGTGTCAACAACGATCGAATATGGGTCTTTCTTTTGATTCGACAAATAAATATCATTTTATTTAGCTTACAGGGATTCCAAATCTTTTTTCAGATCTGAAATATCTTATCTAGAAAACGAGATATGAAACATTCTATCGGCGCGCTAATGCACTAGCACTCAGTAGAAATACACTATTAGAAAGGTGATTTTTTAATTTCCGGTTTGGTATATCAAACTATATATTTTCTAAAAGCTTGAAAAAATCTCTATTCGCTGATACCAATATTGATAAGATCAGGCAATTTTTTCAAGTTCGAACTGCGCGCCAAAAGTCGCAAACAACTGCTCTTTCGCGCCGGAAAAGAGGATTAAGAGATTAATCAGTATACAATCTGAGCGCACCGGGTGATTGCCGAGGTATTAAACTATTATCCCTGTGAAAATAAGAATATTCGAGCTTTAGGATCACCACTAGAATCGAGCACGAAAATTCGGAAAATCGTATGTTTGCACAATGCATGCTGTCCGGATGCATGCATGCAAAATCGAAAAAAGGGCTTTCAGAGCCGTCGTAGTTTCGTCTGAAGATTCTTCTCTGAAAATTTCAGGTTCTTTTCTCATCTAGAATTCTAGTAACGGGGGTCAAAAGTTACCCCTATTTTGTGTATTACGGGCTTCCTTTGAAATCGGCGGGAGGATTAACGAGAGTACTAATCCAAAATCGGGCTTTCAGAGGCGTCACAGAAGGGTTTAAACATTCTTTTTCATTCATTTTTGAAAGAAATACCGCGATTGGCATTTCTGACTGACTGATTCTGATTTTCGACTGAAATAACTAATCAACCAATTAAAATTTGACTCTAGTGTCTCTTCTTTGAGAGTTCCGTCAAACCAGTGACGCCTACGCAATCTACGTTACAAATCTCCTATGTTTTTAGCATGGAGAATTGTAACGTCAATGTGCATCTTTCAAAAATCAGTCAGTCAGGACTGCCAATCGCGGTATATATATCTTCCGAATTGGCAGTAGGTTGGCAGCTACCTTAAAATATGTGCTGCTCGTTGTAATTGTGGTTAATTATGAGTTGTGAATTGTTGTTTCGACCCAAATTTATATTCTGATCATGGGTAGAAAAAAATTCTTTCATTTTAATATTACCTTATCCGTTTATTTTTCCTCGAAAATTTATCATGAGAGTTATTGTTCTTGTTACGCAGTTACTTTGCAGTGGAATAAATATTTTTAAGGATTTTTTTTTTTAATTTGAAACCTCGCAAGATATTTATTCTTTCTAGAATGACAATAATTGTTTTGCTTCAAAGACCTTTAATATTCAAAAAAGCCATTTTTACATCAGAAATCGTTTCGCTGAAGGCTTAAAAAAATGGAAAAATGATGAATTTTTATCACAAAAAATTATATTTCATTTTTTCTTTTTAATTATCAATCAAAAATTTTGATAATTAAAGATTCTTTTTGCTCTTAAATAACGATTCATGCGAAAAAATTTAAGATTTTACCCAGAGTTCGAAATCTGAAAAGAAATGGCGACTGCCACTGCCAAGTGACTGCCAAAATCGGCAGCTGCCACTGTACTGCCAGAAACTGCCGATTTCGATAGTATTAATTAAAAATTTTTAAAGTCAAATTTTGTTCAAATTAGTCTTTTAGACAAGTTGAGCATTTAAAAGAAACATTTTCTCAAAATAAAAATGTCTCTTTTGAATCAAAAGTTTCGATAAAAAAAATGTAATAAAATAAGTCTCGGGAGATAAATTTGATCATTAACGTTAGTTTTATTGATCATTCAAAATAAAAAACTAAATATCTTACGAAGTGGCAGTAGGTTGGCAGCTGACAGTGACTGCCAATCCTTAAAAAATTTTACTTCCAAGTGACTGCCAAAATTTGCAGCTGCCAGAAAATTTGGAATTATGTTTTAACCTTTGTCACTTGTCCATAAAGACTTTCAATACGAGATGTTCATATAAAAATTATTCGATGACCATTCCTGAAAGTTGCCAGAGGGAGTTGGCTGGGAGCTAACGGGCTGGCTTTCGACGGTCATTTTCAAAACTAGTCTTCTTTTGTTTTGATCTTTTGTGAACTAAATAATACATGCGGGTCACTCCTTTTATAGGCGACATCGAAAACAATTCCAGGAATTTAGGCATTCGAGAGAGAAAAATTTTTTTATTTATTTTTTAGAATTCTAGAAAATTCCTGTCGTAAAATATATCAAGCTTTAAGATTTTGGCGCAATTGAAGGGCATCAATCGATACATTATGTCTGTCGACGTGATTTTACGAGTGTAAATGATAAAACATTAGTCTCGTTTCTTTCTATTGAATAGTCTCAATTATTTGAGAAAAATTTTCTAAATTGATTTTTGAAAATGTTTCTTTTTAATTATTTTGAACGAAAAAATTACACTATTTTATGAAACGAAGGAGGTCAGCCCTCATTTTTGCGATTATGGGATTTTTTGAAAAACAATTTGCCAAATTTGAACTGAAAATTAAGATTTCAGAAAATTTTTTATTTTATTTTTCCTTATTAAGAATGGCGTGAGAATTTCATTACTAGATGAATTTTTAAAGGCGAAAAAAAGGGGTGCTGAAACCGCTCATATAACTGTCTCTTAAATTTTTTCCTCTTTTTAATCAGTGTTTACTCGATAACACGGCTGAAATCATTAATTCCAGACAACGAAGAAAAACTTTTATCTTAAAAATTTTTTGCTGCTATAGAAAATTTAGAAAAAAATTGGCGTTAAAAATCCGAAATCTCCATTATATCGTGATTATCATTTCTAAGTGACCAAATTTAATTTATATTGTAATTCTCGCGGACATATTTTGCATTGTAAAGTGTCCGCGACGATTCGAGTTGGTCATTCAGGAATGATAATCGCGGTACTTAGGCTGTTTATCTTAGATTTGCTCTTTTTTTATTAAAATTAAGGGGATACTTATCTTAAAATTTTAATTTTTTTTATTTTACACACAAAGTCAGCTGATTTAAATGAAAATGTATATTTTTTGGATAATAAGCTTGAAGAGAAGAAATCAAATCAGTTTTTAATTTCCACCGCCGAACATATTCGAAATGAATGCTTGAGATTCGTCCTTGAATTCAAAGGCCTCCATTGCTGTGTACATCATAAGACCTGAATGAACTGTTTTAGAAATTGTCAACAAGCTAAAAAAACAGTTTTTTCTTTCTCAGTTCAATTTTCAAATTTCCCCGCCTAAAAATTTCGCTACTTCTACCCAAATCTGCCATATTTTGAATCTGAAAATCAATGCTTTTAACCCAAATTTGTTTTATCGGCTTCAGTAGAAAAAGATAGATCTTGTGCTGACTGATTTTTGTTTAAGGACCCCCCGGCAGGGATCGAAATTTGCTGTTCACTCAGAGTGAATAGAATGAGCTGTTCAGTGTTCACTGTTCTCTCTGTTGTGAACAGAAATTCTGGATTTCTGTTCACTCTAGAGTGAACAGTGATCAGCATTTTGAAAAGTAGAGTGAACAGTGAACCGGGTTTTGACAAATTCTAGAGCAGATTGGTTATTGTCGAGTTAAATTTCAGAATTGAAAAAGTAATAATTTTGTTCTAGAATGAATTCTTCAAAAAAAAATCATGACGAGAATAACTTTATACTTTAAGATTTGTCGGAAGAGACGATTTATTATTCTTTCACTACTTGAAACGTCTCTTTTGTGACCAACAAGTGTTCGTTAGCTTCAAAGAAATCTAGTTTGACTTTAAAAATTTTGCAAAAAAAATGTATTTTTCCAGATTTCGGGCAGAGTGAACAGTTCACTCTGTTCATTCGAGTGAACAGTGAACTGAATTTTGAGATTTCTGTTCACTCCAGAGTGAACAGTGGACAGAGGTTTTCGGCAGATTTCGAACCCTGCCCCCCAGTCAGCTTTTTTTCGAAAAATCGAGTTTCGGAATTTTAAAATTTTGACCCCGCAAATGGATTCTCCGGGTCCAAAAACGAGTTCATTTAATGAAGGTCTATCTTGACTCCGTCAATCCGAAACTCGCATTTGAAAACTGGACTTTGGGCTCGGTACTTGCTAAGAAAATTTTGCTGGCAAGGCAAGTTGATTTGCAAGGCAAGAAAATTTTGCTTTTGCAAGGCAAGTTGCCGACCCCGAAGGGGGCATATCGCCAGAAATTGCCAAAAATATTCATTTTTTCGACGGGAAAAGCTGACGAGGGTCCCATAGAGGTGATTATTCGAAACCTTCCGTACCAAATTCGTTTAAATTAATGAATCTCAATTATTTTCCCTTATTCTCGATAAAAACAAGTCGGATTAGGATAAAAATTTGTCTACTAATATACAAATAAAAAAAGATATTTGCGAAAAAAACCGATTGAGGATCATTGATAAGTGAAGCGAATCTATTGTAAAAATCGTCAATTCCGATGAGTAACTTACAGATTTTTGCTTGAACGGATAATTCCGCGGGAAAAGTAAAAGTTGAAATTGTTTTCTTCGGAGTGAATTTACTATCGATTTTACACACTGGTTTTTCATCTTTACTAAAAAGGATGTAGATGAAATTTTTTGTCGTGAAAATGGAATGATACCTGAAAATTACTTGACGCTTTTTCGTCAGCTTCACTTTCTCCTCCTTTTTTGTTTTGACTGGTTCTTTGCTGATGTCAAAGATGACATTATTTTGTGGATCTCGGAAGGTGTCCGACTCGGAGCACAATGATGCAGAATGATGGAAGCTTCCACAAATTTCGGTTTGTCCAACAACGATCCCATAATTGAAACCTTTCTGAAAAACCCCAGGATAATTTAATCAAGAATTTTTCTTTGGCCTGCCAATACGTTTATACTTTTTTTTACGGAGAAGAATGTCGAATCTGTTTTATTTGTAAGCGAATAGAAAAATTAACCCGTATTAACTTTTATAAAGGAATTTTGGCGAGAGAGAGCTCATCATCAAGTCATCTCGTCGAAAATTCAGATTTTGCGTCATTTTTGAACGCGATTTATTCGATGAAAGAATTTCTGATTTTTAGAAGTGAGATGACGAATAGAAACCTCTATCGTTGTTCTCGGGCTAGATTCAACAAAGTCGCCCGAAACCAAGATCGGATCGGATCGGGTTTTAAAGATGTCATGAAAAATCGGATCGGGTTTTGTTGGATATTCTCGGGTTTTGTCGGATCGGAATTCGGGTTTTTATCGGGTTTTTTGTCGGATTTTCGTCGGCTTTCCTACAAGCAAAAATTTAAAAAAATCAAGTCATGAGAAGGTTAAAAACTTGTTTTTGTTAATTTCCCAGGTGATATGCGGTCAATAGGAGACTTTGTCTCCTAGCTCACACTTTTTCAAAGTGCGGTCACTGGGAGACTTTTTTCTCCCAGCTCAATTCTTACGCAAACTGCGGTAAATAGGAGACTCTAGAATTTTGGCTAGCGTTTAGGGTTAGGGGCTGGGGGCTCTTAACGGGGGGTTCGGGGGGCGAAGCCCCCTGATTTAGGCCTTAGGTGGGGGGTCCCGGGGGGCGCAGCCCCCTGGGTTAGGTGTAGGGTTAGGGGCAGCTTTAATGATAAGCCCTCAAAAGTCTCCCAGTTCGACAATTCTAGACTGTGGTCACTGGGAGAAAAAAAAGTCTCCTAGCTCGCATTTTGACGAAATGTGGTAAATAGGAGAAAGTCTCCTATTGACCGCCTACAACCAATTTCCCATTGTGCCTCCCCTTATACATAAAAATGCCTAGTCTTTTTATTTGAGTTCCTGTTTGGGGGGATAGACCTCGCCGAAGTCACATGACCTCAAATATCCCGTTCGGTCGAAAATAGTGGGAGTCAACTTTAAAGGACATCTGTTCTGCGAAAGCCGTCAAGGCTTGAAGTTCAAGCACAGGCGTTCACTGAAAATCTGCCCTCGAGATTGGATCGCCGATTGCCAGGGACCTCGCCGGGTTTCATTCTCTCAATAGCAAGAAGATTATCTTTGGTAAGGTTGATGTGCAAGTCGTCTAGAGCTCGTTCTCTGCTTTTTTTCGGTTTTGGAGGCAGTTCTCATCTACTTCGAGTGCATTTTGAGTAAGAAAAGGCAACTGAGGCTTTTTAGACCGTCTGTGATTGGCCGAAAAGGCAAGAAAAACCCGACGAAATTCCGAAAAAATCCGAGAAAAACCCGATCCTACGTCGGGTTTTGAAATTTTCAGGATCGGGTTTTGTAGGATAAAAAAAAAATAAATTTTGCTATCTAGTGAGAGTTTTCGGCTATCTTGGTCAAAAAAATCTCGATTCTCGACCACCACCCCCTTAAACGCGAGAGAAAATTGGTGTTAAGCGCTTTCTTTGCTGTCAAATTAACAAAACTCCACTCAGTGCTTTGATTTGTTCATTTGATTGCACATTGCAAAAATTAGATAGTGAATAGGCACATTTGAAGTTATTGAAGGAAAAAGTCGCACTTATTGATTTTACCAAACTTGGTGTCGTACCTTAAGGAACCTTGGCGAGCTGGCTTAGGCGCGACTTCGCGAGCGTTTCATTCATTTTTGACTTCACTTATTTCGAAAATTCTTTCTGCAAACATGATCTTCAGACACTCCTTTTTCTATTACTGCTTTTTTTTCTTTATCATTTATTATTCAGGCGCATTATTCATTTTTCAAGATATGAAATTAAAATACCTTCCACCGAAAAGCCCAGAATACTCTGTTCAAAACTTCGCTTTTGGGGTAATGACCACAATTATCTGTCAAGTCTTGACAGTCAAGATCAAGGTGACCATTTCCAGAGTGGGTCGGTACCACAGCGAGCATTCGCGCTTCGTGAGACATTATTCTGGCTTGGTTGCGCGCGTTTCCCGCAAAGCGCGCGCTAATAATTTCGGATTACTGATTCTAACCACGTTATCAATCATTTTCATAAAACAAAATAAGCAAAGTTTTTTAGAAAATTGTCAGGCTTTTACGGTGAACGTGATTTTAATTTCATATCTTGAAAAATGTAAATGCTTAATGCTTTGAGTTAACTTTCTCTTCTCGACTACAGCGCCCGAATTAAAAGGGATGGGGGAAAACTAAAAACAGAAAAAGAAAGATTCAGCCGAGTGCATTTGCGCGAGAGAGCCGCCTAAGCTATGAATTTATGAGAAAAAATTCTATTGATATTTTGACCACAATTTTAATTAAGAAAAATCCGATCTTGTTCTTCTCCCCTTAATAAAAATTTCAACTTGAAATTAATCATACCTGGCATTTAAAACAGCTTGTACCAGGGTCCAATTCTTTAAGGGCCAAAATCTCGCCATATTGGGGATGAATACCATCGACTTCCTTGTTTCCGATATTGCAGCAACTCATACCACAGAAAATATATGAAAGGACCCATTTTCCAATGTTTATAGGTGGCGTTTTTATGTCCATTATATGTTGATTTTCGCTGAATTTAGTTTTTCTTTTTATTTGTGAGCATCAAAATATAACCTGTTATAGATTGCAGCATCACCTGGAGAATTCCATTCGACAACAGCTGTGAATTGGGTTTCTATGAGTAATTAAATTTCAGAAAAAAAACGCATTTTTACGCTTGAAATAAGGCTCGCTTGAGAAAACAAAAAAAGCCCTGACTGACAAGATTAAAAATTATAATTTAAGTTTTCTTAAGGGTACGGGTGTCGGCTTTCTATCGTCCGTAATAATATAATGTGGATAAAAACAGAGTATTTTATCGAACTCTACAGAAAATTTAAGCTCGAGTCATAATTAATTGTCAGCTGCTATCATTGTTATTTTACGAGTTATGCGTTCGTAAAAAATTACCGAAAAAAATTTTTCGGCTCAGATTTTTTTCATCCGGGGCTTTTTAGAAAGCTTAGAAAATGAGGATCATCATGATATTCTCGGTTTTACATGAATCTGTCCAAAAACATTTTTAGAGCCGAAAATGTGTCGCTCAGTTTCAAAAAATGCTAATTTTCGGTGCAATAACAAGGATACTTTTTTTGAAAAAATTAAATTCCATACGAAATGTAATTCAATCTCAAAAATCTCTTGACAAAATTAAGATAAGAGTCTGAATTTTTACATAAAAATATAAAAAAGGTATGTTTACAAGCTCATTTCTTCGGAATTGAAGCCTCTTTTAGGCCCATTTTCACCATTTAAGGTCGAGATCACGACTTCGAGCCAATTTTTAAAACAAAAAATCTTTATAAATCCAAATTTCCTCTTGACAAAATGTAAAACTAGGATGGATCTTTGCACTAATGTAGGCGAATTTTTTCCACCGCCTCTATATCACGAGGAATTGAGCCCTAGTTAGAGCCTCGCCGACACCCGTACCCTTAAGTTTTAAAGTTTTATAATTTAAAACAAGATAGACCTAGATCTACAAACTTAAGTACAGGCGTTTTATTTTCTATACTAATAAAAAAAATAATAATTTGAGCTTTTTTGAGCTCAAAAGATTATGCTTAACCCCTGCCCGCATATCGACCTACGCGTAGGTAAATTGATTTTCAAACGCAATTATCTCGCGTCTGGTAAATATTTTCTGAAAAGCTGACCCCAACTTATGGTACAACTTTTTAATGGGGAATCAGGATCTGAGGTCAAACTAAATTTTTCTCAAAAATTTAAGATTTTGGCAATTGAGCGAATTGATCTCTGCTCAACCTGACAAAATCCAACTTTAATTCAACTGGCCTTGGCATGATTTTTCCATCAATTTTATGCTAAGTAAATAAAAAAGTCCGTAATTCTTAATTTTTACTGTATTTATGACTCTGTGAAAATATTTTAGTTGATATGGACGAGATTTGGAGCTCTCAAGACTGTTTCTTTTATCAAAAAATGAGCACTTATGAAAAAACGACATTTGTTGACATTTGACATTTGATATTTGAAATTTGATTTTGTCCAGAAGATAGCTCAGTCTTTAATCTTTCCATCCGTGTCTTTTAAAAATTTTATCACGACCGAAAGACCCTAAAAAGGCACGACCTACGCGTAGGTCGATATGCGGGCATCGTTTTTTGACCTGTAGAATCCATTTCCAGGGTCAAAATTATGAAATTACGAAAATAGATTTTTCGAAAATTGTTGACGGGGGTCCTTAAATTCAAACAACTTATTAAAATCTGACAAAAATTAAAACTCATAATCGGTTTTTCTTCGACGCTAATAAGTCACTACCTGGTGCTAGATATGAGAATATATGGCTCATTCTGATGAATTCTTTAACTAAATGTAAATGCGAAAAAACATACACGATAACGACATGTTCTAGAAAGAACATTCTGTTTATAAATCATCTGTGCTTACTTAATAAAATCATCGGATTTGTTATGATTTTTTTGACATTTTTTAACTTCGTTTTCTATGAGAATGTCGAGAGATATCTTTGACTTCAGCTAGAAATGTCCTTTATGATCAGGGCCGACGCGTAAAAAATCAACCCCAAGAAAGCATCAACGAAGAGAGCTGAAACTTCGGGAAGTAATGTAGTTCGACCAAACTAAAAGAATTGCTATAAGAAGGCACCAGAAAACACCGCTCTATTAAACCGATACAAGAATCTTCATTACTACCAAGGCTTAAATACTTCCTACTACGTACTGCAACGACTAAAGAAAATTTTGTATGAAGAAATCAGTTGACCTTCAGTTCTCTGTAGTAATAGCTAGTTAACTACTATCTACTACCAGTAAAATAACTTGAAATTGAAATTTTACAAATCAAACTAGATTCGCTGTATTCAAATTAACATTTTTAAACATAGAGAAGAGACGAAAATACTGCTTAAAAAATTCGGACGTCTCTTTATCATAAATAATAGCAAATAAGGCTAGTTTTCAAAAATTAATTAATCCCTTGAACCGGATGATAAAAGAGAATACCTTCATTACAACAAATTTCTGAGAACGCTTCTATCTACAATTTCTGCCACTCGATATGCAAAAGGAAGTAATTTACTATATTACTACATTGCTATCCGACTCCATCTCTAATTCTGCTGGAGCTGATGGTTAGCTCTGCTCCCCTTATGCAGTAGAATATTCAGTTTTCCGTTGACGTTTATTAATATTCGCTTTATGCTTTAAATCTGGCCTTTGCATTAAAGCTTATTTCTGTGCTTAATAAGTCGAATCAAGAAGCATTCGGAAAAAAATATCAAACACGCTTAGCTTCAGAATATTTTCCTGTTTTTAATTTTAATTTCTAGAAAAATTTTTGCTTGTATTTAACCCAACGAGTCAAAGTCGACATTTTTATCGAAATCCGGTTTTAATCAGCTGCCCTAATTAGCCAAATCACCACAACAAGCCAAAAATTGTAATGTGTGTTTGCATACGCCTTAGGCACCATGTGACCAAAAATTGAGGTGATAAGTACAATTGTATTAACCTGGTGCTCTGTACCTGTTTATTTCCGCTCAGCTCGAACAAAATCAGAACGTGATCACTGCAAAAAAACAAATTTCCGATTATTTGAGGAGTTTTACCGGAAAAAAACAATATATTGGTTTTCGAATGTGGAGAATTCTAACTAGGATGTTAAAACCAATCATGAGTGAATTTTACTTTGAAATAAAATGAGCTATTGATATGCAAGAGAAAAACAATTAACACCATCAAAAAGTGCTTATTTTAATAAATGTTAGAACAAAGTTTCAGGAGAGTATGAGAGCATTTCGACAAAAAATGTCGAATTAGACTCGTGGGATTACGCTCATCGCATCGACTCGTGAATTTTACTCCCTTTGTTCAGATTTCAAAATTTTTTCTAAATTTTTTTTGTTTATAAATAAACTTCCATTGACAACACCATCGTTGTCTGGATATTATATGGGACGATTAAGAAAGTATTAACAGCCGCGCTCATTACAACGCTCATAATCTGAGATAAATAAATTCCTTTTAAATTATTTAAATCAAACTAGACGAAATTTTGACTTTTTGTATATAAAAAGTTTTAAAAGAAACCTTTGAAAATATATCGAGTCGAATAAACGTCTCTTCTAAGAAAGTGACGACTAAAGACCTCCCCTATGGTTTTTGCCGAAAGGGGTGTCGCACGGACCAAAATTTTGCGTAACCAAGATTAAGGTAGGTCATCAGTATACTTAAATATCAAAATTACATCCTTAATCTATGGACATACAATGTATGTTACATACATGTATGGCCTTCTTTCTGTTTGGTTCTGTTTCCTATTTCTGTTTTGAACTAAGTTTGATTAAACAGATTTTTATAAATACAGTCAAAATCGGCAGCTTTTTGCATTCACTTCGCAGCTGCCGACTTTGGCAGTCACTTTGCAGTGGCAGTTGCAAATTTAAAAAGTCTGGTAGACGCCATTTTCTTTCAGATTTTGATCTCCGATTTGGGTATTGTGCAGAATGTATGCATAAAGCACTTCCTAGGAACTTATAAAACAATGAAATAGGGATAATTAAAAGATTTTTCACATCGCAAATTATTTTACTCAAAATCTCTAGATATCAATAGTATATTTTTCTCAATTTATTTTCTTTCTCAGTTTCAAATGTCGTATTTCAATACGGATCGTTCAATAAACAATCCACCGGGGTCAAAGGAAAACGCTCCCTCTTCTCCTGATGGAGACCTGCCTGCGTTACCATATCCAGCTCAAAATCAAGGTCTTCCGGCATATCCACCAGGACAGAATTCACCCTATCCACCACCGACTTTCAATCCGTCTCCCTCTTCGCCGCAACCTGTACCTCAACCTGCTCCGCAACCAGTGGTGATCAATGTGGTGCAAAAAACTTTCAGTGAGTCTGTTATATTTAAAATTGATAGCAAAATAGGAGTGCAGCCATTTCGAAAATTGTGTTTTTTTCAGCTCAGCCTGTTCAAGCCTCTCCAATCGAAAGTAATGACCATCATCTTAGTCAGAGCAAAGAAAAACCTAAAAAGCGTAGTTTCTTTGGAACTCTTATTGCTATTACGATTCTTGTTTTCATCGTTACCAAAGTTCGAAATTTGAAGGAAAAGAATTTTGAATATTTTGGAAAAACTTTCTTTAAATAACTCTTTCACGGTTTTAGCCGTAAAAGGCCTCGCGGGGACCAAAATTCTAGAAAAATACGATTCAGTGTGGTCCTTCTTGTACTAATATAGTTTGAATTTTTTTTTATACACATATCTTTATTAATAGTCATAGCATAAAGTTGTAGAGGTTTACTCTCTATATAATAAACTATCAAACTTTCATAGTATTGTAATTTATTTGGTCAGTGGCTAATTTGGAAAAATAGCTGCTCGTGGACTAGTGACAGCCGGTTATATAGTGAGCTCAAGTGCTCTTGAAAAGCGCCGCGCCCAGCTCGGGCGACTTCCTTCAAGTGCCAACTTGATTCATCGGGAAAATAAAGACAGTAAATCCCTATACTATCTCCCTCCTTCGTCAGAAAATAGCAGATTTGGGAGGAAGTGTTGTAGGATAAGGCCAGAGCGGCTTTGAACAGGCGAAAATCGAAACAGAAACGAAGGTATTAGGAGCTGGTTGAAGCCGAGCAATTGGCTCTAGACGCCAGGTCAATCAAAGTCAGGCCGAATTCGAGATAGAGCAACGCAGTAAGTGTCCAGTTGGGTTTGATTTAGTCGCATCGAGGCGATTTCCGCTCGATTGATTTCAAAATTTTCTTGGTTCTGGTGAAATGTTCTTGGTGGCATGTTATCCTTGCTTGCCAAAGCAATGTCGGATTATTTTCAACCCTTTCTTTCCCTCTCCTCTGGGGTTTTCTATTTTACGTCGTATGAATTCACGACTTCCCCTTCGATCAAAGTTAGTCTCGTGGCGGTCCGAGCTGATTATGTATTACGAGGTTTCGCCGTTGATCTAAACGCATTTTTGTTCTTTTATTCGAGTTCTTTTCGCTCGTGAATTTTTTTTTCAAAAACATATTATGGTCAACTCAGCCTTTCGTTGCCGACAATTTTCGTCATAAAATCAAATATAAATTTCGTGGAATCTGTCAATCAATTTAACATTACTCCTTGTTATATCGATGGAGCCTTGTTAAGTTCGACCATGGTAGAGTTGGTGTTTCAAACGCAGCTCAACCAAAGTTCGCATTTCATTTACCGGTTATGCTCATTTTTCTGTGGAAGTCGTCAACTGCCAGTTGATGAGTGTCGGAAGCATTGAATGCTCCAGCAGGGTGTCAAATCGCGGGGGATTTTGAAGGGATTGCGCGCCACAGCGCCGTTTCGATCCCACGGTGTAAGGGATCGCCTCGCAACGAGAGGCAACGAAAAGGGAGCGCTCACAGAAACAAAGGGATCGCGCCGATCCCTTCGCGCGTGGGATATCCCTTCGCGCAAGGGATCTAAAATTTCTGAAAACGAGCGATCATGTAAAAATTCAACAACGATCATTTTTTAATGCGAAAATTGACCAACATATAATAATTCTTATCCTTTCAACGAAAAAACTAACCAAAATCATGGCATAATCAATCCGACTTTAGGTTTTTTTGTTTAAAATTTATTTTATTCATGTAAAAATTCACCATCCTTTTGTCTTCATCACAGATGGTTGGTACCTCGAGTTTTTTTCCGTCTTCCCTGTGATATCATCTCCAGCTGTTTGGATATAAACCCTTCATATCTGATTCTCGCAGCGGGGTATTACTAAGATACTATACTAATGATCGGAAATCAGCCCATCTGCAGAAGGACACCATCTATCCAGATGTATTGTCAATATAAAGTCCTCCAAAAATGAAATTTTTTCGTAAATATGAGTCAAAAACGACCATTTGATGAAGGTCCTTTGCTTTCTCCACCATCAACTCCGTTTGAGAAAAAGAAAAAAACCAAGGATGAGTTCAAGAAAATTGTAGAGATTCTAGAAGAAGATGAGAAGCTCATTTGCACTTCGGAGATCCATCATAATTACAAAGCAGATTTCAAACTAGAGAAGATCACGAAGTCAGACCAGACGCCGACGCCATATGTCATTTGCCGGAGCCAATTTTGCACTAATGCTGAATACAAACATAAGGTAAGAAAAAATTGACCAGATTTGAATTTAAATTAACCTTATCATGTAAAAATTAACCGGTAAAATTAAACCCTTTCAATTTAAAAATTCGATTTTAATTTTTCATGCAGAAATAAACCTTGCTCAAGTAAAAAAACTTTTTTCAAGAAAAAATCGACCCTTTTTATGTAAATATTGACCCTTTTAATGTAAAAATTGACCCTTTTAATGTAAAAATTGACCGTTTCCATGTAAGAATTGACCCTTTTCATGCAAAAATTGACCCTTTTCATGTAAACATTAACCCTTTCAATGTAAAAATTGACCCTTTTCATGTAAAAATTGTTCCTTCCCATGTAAAAATTGACCCTTCCCATGTAAAAATTGACCATTTCATGTAAAAATTGACCCTTCCCATGTAAAAATTGACCCTTTCCATGTAAGAATTTACCCTTTTCATGTAAAAATTGACCCTTTTCATGTGAAACTTGCCCTGGCTTGAGAATAAATAAGCCCTCTTCATTTTTGACCAGTCGAAAAAATTAACTCTTTTATAGGTTTTCTTTGGCATTCGAGGCAATTTGGCGAAAGCGAACCATGCGACTGACTACTACGTGAAACGTCACATCCAAGAACACCATCATTCAACCGCAACCGACGCCGAAGAGCTTGAGGAAATCGCCGCAGAAGTTGTTGCAAACGATGGTCTCTCGATTGGTGCTTTTGAAACCGAAACGATGAAGAAATTTTGCGCAAGGGCTCATCAGGCAATAGCGAATGGAATAAGCAGTCACAAAATTGTGAAGATTCTCAGGTAAAAATTGACCGTTTAATTTAGATAAATAAATTTTTAAGGCGCAAAAGTACCGTTTCCAATGGTATCGTCAAGTCAAAGCTGCCTGGTCTTATCCAGGAAAACAGATGCTGCTTGGTCCTTGATGGGTTCGATTGCCCTCGGCTAACGAAAGAAAGAAGTAGCAAATACCTCGGGGTCTTCATCGGGTTCTACGATTCGAACCTGCGAAAGACTCGATTTTTTCTTCTTCACTACGGGGTCATCTTCAAAGCAACTGATGCGAATGTACGTCGACAACTAGAAAACGTCCTCTCGGATTGGAATATCCTCGACTTTTTTCACGCAAAACGACTTCCAGTTGTCGGAGATGCGCCGATGGCTCAGGCCTTCTCTGACTATTTTGCCGTTGTCTGTGCAAGCCACACGATTTCGAATCAGTTAAAAAGGTAAATACATCATTCTTCTTTCATCAAATAACGTCTTTACTTTAGATATATTACCCTTGTCCAGAGCGATGCAATCGTCGGCGATAGCTGTGTCGAAATCGAGAAAGCTGTCTCAGCATGCAATCATCGAGCTGAACGAGACGACTGCTCCGAGAAATCCTTCAATGATCTAGTGAAAAGCTACACTCCAACTGAAGATGAGCTCAAGCACATCAGGCAATTCTACCCGAATTACGACAAATTCGTTACGATCGACAGGATCTACTACATCAGATTCAGGTTCGTTCTTCATCATTTCATGTAAAAATTGACTTTTTCATGTAAAAATTGACCCTTTCCATGTAAGAATTGACCCTTTTAATGTAAAAATTGACCCTTTTCATGTAAAAATTGACCCTTTTCATGTAAAAATTAACCCTTTCCATGTAAAAATTGACCCTTTCCATGTAAAAATTGACCCTTTCCATGTAAAAATTGACCCTTTTCATGTAAAAATTAACCCTTTCCATGTAAAAATTGACCCTTTCCATGTAAAAATTGACCCTTTCCATGTAAAAATTAATCATTCCATGACAAAATTAACCGAAGTCATGTAAAAATTAACCGTTATTATGTAATAATTGACTTTATCTTTCAGATCTTTCATCACGACGTACAAGCAGCTCATGGCAAACGAGCCTCTTCTTCGTCGTCATCAGAAGTACCTGACCGACTCAAAGTCGATCACACACGAAATCGACTGGAAGCTTGTTCATTACCTCTACTCAGTCTCTCAAGTCTTCGAGCCTGCTCTGGCGTCCACCGACTCGGATCACTTCTCGGTTGGAGACACCCTGGCAAAACTGTTCGACTTGCTGAAATTTTTGCTTCAAGTTGATCCGGCTGACTTCAAGGAAATCCACCAGGAGCTGATTCTGACCGTAGCAGACTACATTTTCGGTGCAAACATCACTGGAAGGAAGCCATCGAGAGGATCCTACATCAAATCGAGAGCAAATCCAGCTGCTTTGGTCGGGCTCTCCCTTGACTTCTTCAGCCGCCACTTCGAATTCACCTTGATCCGTAACCGACTTGACGACGCCTTTGAGAAGGATTCGTTCATCACCCAGTCTACATACAACACCCTCAACACTTGCTTTGATACTGCAGTTCCTGTCTGGAAGGAGACAGTGCGCAAAACCTTCTTTGACCTCGCCGAGCAAACCAAGCCAAGCGAAGAAATCTTTATTCTTGTAAGTAAAGGTTTATTATTTCCCGGATCTGGTTAATTTTTTCCCGCAAAGGGGTAATTCTTATCAAGTTTCGATTAGTTTCTGCATCTAGCGGTTAATTTTTACATGACATCGGATTACTCTTTCATAAAAAAGGTCAATTCTTACTCAGAGCTGGTCAATTTTTACATAAAAAAGCATAAATTATAAACATTATTTTAGGTTCCTGTTGAAAACCAGCAACAGACGACACCATCGGCAGCTACTTCATCACAGCCAAAGACGTTGACTCCTCCAAGCTCGCAGGAGCGCGCTCCGCCGACTCCTCCATCTTCTCAAGCAAAGTCGACTTTCGAGGAAGAAATGGAGCAATATTCAAGCGACGAGGATGAATGCGAAAAATCATCAACTGATGAGTTCTCTGCATGGTTCAAAAAGGAGAACAAGACGGAGCGCAAAGAAAGCGTCAAAAGATACAAGCAATGGTTGAACCAGCTCGATCCCCAGTTCAAGACCTCCGCCAGTACCGCTGAACGAAGTTTGATGTATTTCACACATCACGCTGGAACTTACCCGACATTCGCCAGAATCGCACAACTCGTACGCTCAACTCCTGGCTCAAGCGGCAGCATCGAACGTCTCTTCTCAAAAGCGAACGATATCATGTCTTCAAAACGCAACTGCTTGAACACCAGTACTGTTGAACTCATTCTACAAGTGTCTTCTTATCCAAATGTACAGAATCTATTTGAATAAATGTTTTTCGCTAAAAATTATGCGTCGAAATCCTGCATTTATGACCCCTTTGCATGCAAAAATTAACCGAATTCATGAAAAAATTAACCTTGATCATGCAAAAATTAACCCTTTCTTAGAATAAATTGACCGAGGTCATGTAAATATTAACCGAATTTATGAAAAAATTAACCTTTATCATGCTAAAATTAACCCTTTCTTAGTATAAATTCACCGAGGTCATGCAAATATAAACCGAACTCATGAAAAAATTGACCTTTATCATGCATAAATTAACCCATTCTAAGCATTAATTGACCGAGGTCATGCCAATATTAACCATTTTCATGGACAAATTTACCTTAGTCGCGTAAAAATCGACCAAAATCGGATAAATCAGGCTTTTAGCCGATCAAAACGCTCTTAAATGGCCCTTAGCCAATCAAAACGATCTAAAATGGCTCTCAGCCAATCAAAACGAGCGAAAACGTCTATCAGCCAATCAAAACGAGCGAAAACGTCTATCAGCCAATCAAAACGCTCGAAAATGCCCCTTAGCAAATCAAAACGCTCGAAAATGTATATGAGCCAATCAAAACGCTCGAAAATGTCTATCAGCCAATCAAAAATCTAAATGCTCAAAAAATGGTTTCGGCCAATCTTAATGCTGCAAATAGGCTTTCCGCCAATCAAAAAGCTTAAAAAATGATTCCAGCCAATCAGAATGCCCAAAAAAAAAAAATTTGGGCCAATCAAAATGCTCGAAATTTCCTCTTTGGGAAAAAGTTCTTAAATGTTGACTTTTAAAAGTTAAACATTCGCCTTCCATAGAATTGCACAAAAAATCTCTAGAACAAATGTTGATTTTTGTGTAAATTAATAATAATCGTCAGTTATAAGTATGCCCAGGAAGAAAGAAGAGTTCCCTATTTGCTGCACACTCTGCTTGCGCAGTTTAAAAATGTCAACTCTCGACTTTCATTTTAAACGTTATCACAAAGAAATAGAGCCAAGTCAACGACGAAATTACATTACAAAATGTATTATTAAAAAAAAAGTCGCAATTTCTTTCAGGAAATTTAAAAAAAAGATAAGAGTGATTCTTAATTTGATTTTTTTTAAATAAAATAGAAATCTTGAAGTAAATCAAGATTGTTTCCTCGATTCTACTGTGCGGGAAACATATCGAGACGATCTGGGAAGAGTCAAGAGTCACCAAGTTACCATTCGCTCAATAAAGGCGAAAGAAGATAAGAAAAAGTTCAAGAAATTCGTAGAAACGGCGCGTGAGAGAGCAGCGGCGAAGAAAGAAAGGGGTCGGTTATCCTTATATAACCTTTTTTGTGAAAATCTTTATTCGGTTTGTTCAATAAGTCAAAAAATATATTTAACTATTTTTAGTCACCACCGATTATTCTTCCTGCTCCAGTGACATTAACTAAAGACAGTCAATACGAATGTCCACTCATGACAGACAATTGTTCATCTTCATATGCAGCATCATCCTGTGAAAAATGTCCGGAAATTTGCACGAATTGTTACCAACAAGCATGGCACCCAGGCTACAAGTGCATTTTTTGCATGAAAAAATTGTATTAAGTTTTTCAACTTTCTGTTTCATTCGAAATTGTCCAATTCTAGAGTAAAAGTTTTGTGAAAATTGAGTACACTATGTTTTTCCGTGAGAATCCCTTATTATATCTGTTCAAGATTCCCCAATACATTTCGAATCAATTATTAAGTTTGAAAATCACTGTCTTAGAGCGCAGGCTCCGCTGGCGCCAGAAGCGCTCGATTTGGCGCTCTGGCTCCCGCGATCCCTTCGCGTTCAAAATGGCGCGCGAGCGATCCCTTCACTCTTGGGATCGAGCGTAGGCGAGTAAGCGCGATCCCTTCTCGATCCCCCGCGATTTGACACCCTGAACAGGGATGTAAATCACCACAGCCACCCCACCACTGTGGTGGGGTGATTTTTCACCATCCCCTTTTTTCCGTGGTGGTGGTGGGGTGATTTTTCACCATCACCTTTTTTCAGTGGTGGTGGTGGGGTGATTTTTCACCAACACCTTTTTTAGTGGTGGTGGTGGGGTGATTTTTCACTAACACCTTTTTTAAGTGGTGGTGGTGGGGTGATTTTGCACCATTTTTTTTCGAGAAGTGGTGGTGGGATGATTTTTTACAATGGCCATTTACATTTTATCTGATAGAAAAATATCATTTATTAAGATAAATAGATATAACTTGCGACATAAAAACTACTGTTTATTATAAAATTTTTTAATTTCTTCTCCAAGCTCCTTGAAATTGCCAGCGAATTCGTTTTGCAAATTTCTTTCGATCGTAGCCATCTTCTGGCGATTTCGACTCGGATCTCTTGTTTTGCTGGAGACGATGCTGAACAATCGCTCGATTTCTGATGACGACGAATTTATTGAGAGAAGCTTAAATTTATATTAACGAAAATAATAAGAATCAATCGACTTACATAACCAGTAATTTTATACAATCTTGGATAATCCATTTTGTTGGTCTCCCAAAAAGATCGAATAAGTGACGTTACTGATTGACTCTCGCCTGGGGAGTATTTTCCATTGATCTTCAAGAATAGCTTCCAGTCCGGTAGATCCATTATTGATTTCATCTAAGATGCTATAAGGCCAATAACCGTTATTTTTACTTGCCATTTATTCCCTTCGCGGGTGCTGAACGAGAAGCTGAGGCGACTAGCGAAGGATCAACATCAACTTCTTGGTCATCCGAATTTTGAGCAGGCATTTCACACAAGGTCGGCTCACCGCTTATTTTTCCCCAAAGATCTTTTATGTACTGCTTTGCGTCGTTTTGCCAGTTGGCAATTTCTTTTTTTAGAATTTCGGAATTTTTCCGAAAAAATAATCCGATGATTTCTCCATATGCCCGATGAGTTTATATAAATTGCACTTGTGTGTCGGCCAATAGACAAAAACCGCGGCTATAAAATATAATGAAGTAACTTTGAAACATGAAAATTTATACCTTTAGTAGCGCCCAAGACGCGAGAACTCTCTTTTCCCTCGACTTCTCCAATCGATTCACTAACATAAGCTTTTCCAGCCATGAAAAACATGAGTTTTATGAAACAGCTGCGAGCGAAAATTTCCTTGTATTCTCTTATTTCGAAATCTTCTTCAAACTCTCCATCCTCATTTTTCTTGGGAACTGCAAGTTTTTCAAGTTCGATACCAACTTGTTCAAAGGTCGGCAAATTCTCGGTGATCTTAATTTCATATGCAAAAATGATAATTAATTAATAATAATTAATAATAATAATTAATGATAATTGTTCATACTTTTGCATCTGTTCTTTCCATCCTCTTGATATATTTCATAATGCAGCTCAAAATGGAGTGAAGAGCCGCGCATTTTTCGAACGCAGGAATTCCATGGGACAAATTCTTTAGAACAGGTGAAAATTGGGTCATTTTAAGACTAGAGAGGTCATTTTCAGACTAGGAAAGGTCACATACGACTATTTTCACCCATTTCCTGTATCAAATATCGCTCATTAGATGTTGCAGAGTCCATCGTAAGAAGTTGATTTGACCAGGAGAGAATCAAGCGCAAATGCGTCGTTAAGGATGTAAATCGTATCAGATGCAACGGGCCGGGTAAGGGATATGATGTTTTGATCTTGTGTGCACTTTCCTCTGACAATGTAGAGTCAGGCTGCTCCAGTTTGATCATTTTTAATGAATCCGCGGGGGTCGGGACCAAATCGTAAAAATAGTCTCCAAGGGATGGGGGGCTTCCTTTTGGTTTGTTGAGGGCGTCTATATGTATGGAATTAAGAGAAAATATGTTAAAAACATACCGAGAGTAGCTTTGGAAATGCCTTTTTTTGCTTCTTGGATGAAAGATTTGATCGAGTCGAAAAATAATGAATCTAGATGAAAAAACTTTTCAGCTTGTTCTATCGCTGCATTTGCAATAAGACTAAAACAAGAGTTCGTTAACAATAAATTTTGTTCAAAATTTCATTTCTATGCGTAAAAAGCCCTTTTGCTATGCGAAAAAAGTCCTTTTTCTATGAGACAAAGACCCGCATATTGATTTGAACTCGACCTTAAAGAGTGACACATGCAGATATTACTTAGCATGCTTATGTTTCTAACCGACCAGTGACACTGCAAATCTGATGTAATCGCAATTTTTGCGGCGTCCAATGAGAATTTCTAATTGAAAAATATTATAAGACTTTCTTTCATTTTTACCTCGAGAGTTTGCTCGAAAATTGGAATTGATTCTTCGCTACTAGTTGAATCGACAGCTTCAAAAATTAGAGGATAAACCACCGTTACAGATCCAAGAGTCAGAGTAAGGGCAATGCAGTACGCTTGATCTTGAAAGTCACTTGTTTTGTTTATCATCGCTTTGTGATCAACTTGTAGCCCACAGTGACCCTTTTCAATAAAAAATGGCACATTTTCCGAAATATAGACCACCATTTCTTCTGCGGCGATATTGGCTTCTTTGGCGATAAAGTACCGAGATGATTTGAGTTTGATTGCCTCTTGTGGATCAAATCCAAGTGATTCAAGAAGAATTTCATCTCTTTTTGACACGATGTCACTTAATTTTTCATGAAGATAAAATCTTATCATCACAAGTCTTACCAATCAAAATAGCTCTGGCTGAGATTTTTAGCGCTAACAAGATAGGAATTGTATTTTTTTATTCTTGTAACAGCGGCCTCGGGAATCTGTTTCGTATTTTTCTTCGTCTTGGCGGCGGTGAAAGGATCCGAAAAGACCAATTCATGGTTACGCGTGATATGAATTTTTACTAAAAAGTTTTTGTTCGAAAAATACGCAGTTTACATTTATCGCGGCTTACTAGGGTTCCTCCACCTTCGCATATGAACTCTGAGCTCTTAGATTTACAGTCACCTTCGCAGCGGGCGTATCCACTGTAATCGCCATTTTCTTTGAAGCCGAAAAGGAAACCTTTAATATTCCAACCTTCGTATTCGTCGAGTACTTTCTGTACTCGGAGAAGAGTCTTTTGATCTTTCGCCTTGGCGAATTGAACTGACAAATTCTCTAATCTTTTGCGTTTTGCCATATTTAGCTCTAAAGAACTCGCCCGCGGCAAAAACAAAAAAGTGATATCTAGAATAATTTTGACTAAATTGATCTCGAAACTTTTTCACCTTTTCAATGGTGGTGGTGGGGTGATTTTTTCACCATCACTTTTTTCAGTGGTGGTGGTGGGGTGATTTTTCACCATCACTTTTTTCAGTGGTGGTGGTGGGGTGATTTTTCACCATCACCCTTTTTCGGTGGTGGTGGTGGGGTGATTTTTTCCACCACGGATCACCCCACCATTTTGCTGTGGTGGGGTGAAAATGGTGTGGTGATTTACATCCCTGATTAGAAAGAGCTCAAAAGTTATTCTGATAGAGCTAATAATATTTTTGGTGGTGCAATCACGTGACGCAGAAGAGCTCGTTGAAACGTCCAAAAAAGCTGTTTTTGACACCAATTTTGACTAAATGAACCCATGAAAGCTTGATTTGTCCATATTTTTACCCGTTATTTGGGGTTTTTGTCCCTTCTACCGCCTCACTTGATTGCGCCACCAAAAATATAATTTACTCTATAAGAATAACTTTTTGAGTTCTTTCTTCTGAAGTATGAGCCGATCGACCTTGATCAGGCGTTCAAGGTCGTCAAGCTTTTTTAGGTTTTCGGAGGCCTGTATCACGTGACCACGCGACCAGACCAAAAAATTTTTAATAGCAATTTTTTTAGTTGGATCAAACTACATTATATCCCGAAGTTTCAGCTCTCTACGTTGATGCTTTCTTGGGGTTGATTTTTTGCGCGTCGGCCCTGAGTCATGAGCACACAAATAGAACGGCGGTTGTTAAGCATTTCAATGCTATTTTATGTTGTCTTTTTCTCAAAAGAAACGATTATCATTATAAAATTATTATTGTTATAAATATATAATTGTCATTTATTAATTAAAAGACAAAACGGACAATTCCGGAAGTTTTTCTTCGGGAAAAAACGCCGAATCTTCGGAATTGTCCGAACTCGACTTGAAATTTTTTTTGCGTCAAAAGTGCCCTTTTGAAGGGTGTCAACCAGAAAATTGGCTTTTAAGTGCTGCGCAAGGCTTTTTTGACCCTTTCTGATTTATTTTTAATTTGGAAAAAGGTGGCCCTTAATTATTATTATTAGAGAATAGGCCTCTCAGTTGAATTTTAGTCTAAACTTTTCGGAATCGTGCGCTTTCAAAATTTTTCTCATTTTCCTCAAATTCCTGAATTTTCCGTTTTGTCTGTACATTAAATGTCTTGGTTTTTGAAAAGAATTCTGCTATTTTGGATCTAAAAACACAAAAGTCTGTAAACCTCACCAAGAGCGCACCGTTGTTACTAGGACAGCCCTAAAACTGTTCATTTATTCATATGATATAAGGGACCTCATCTTTTACAAATTTTTGGTGATCAGGCCCGCTCTGTATTTATTTTCGAGAATAAGTCGTTTTTGACGAAATAATTTTTGACGAAGAAATCTGCGCAATATAAGTTCAAGTGTTAAAAGACATATGATAATTTTAAGATCAAAAAACGTCTCTTCTGAAAAGTTTTGGCCTTTTATGGACCCCCTCCCCCCACGGTTTGGGTGTTTGATGAATTTCTTGAAGATAGGCAAAAATAGGGGTTTGCTCATCCAATTTATAAATTTTTAGATGAAGACACTCTTAACCCATCAAATAAAAGCTAAGGGTATGTTCTTTCAAAATCAGGAAGATCAAGGATAATTTCAAACTTAAGGTCTTCTCATTGTTACGTCAGAAAAGGACTTATGATCACCTTGAATTCGTTAGAGTTGAGGTCCCTTAGAAGGATATATGCACAGTTTTAGGGCTGCCCTATAAAAAATACATGCTAATAAGGGTGTAGCTAAGATAAGTGATCTTAATTTTTGATCCGCGCAAATCCGATTAACGGATAATTGCAAAATGAGGACGCTTTAACAGCCTGTATCTCTTGACGTGTAGATGGTAGACTTCGTTAATAATCACAAGTTTGATTGTAGAACGTTTTCGATTTTATTTCAAATCATCATCAGTACAAATTAAGCTTAAGATAAGGAAGAACATTTGTAAAATACCTCTGTTTATTTAGGGCAGATCTTGGCGCTCGATAAAATCAACTTGTTTTCGTCTTCTCGCGTTTTTGATTTCAGTTAGCGTAAGTTTGCTTTCTCATTAAACAGAGGTATTTTACAAATGTTCTTCCTTATCTTAAGCTTAATTTGTACTGATGATGATTTGAAATAAAATCGAAAACGTTCTACAATCAAACTTGTGATTAGCCTGTATCTCCTTAAATTACTTTATAGGGATTTACTGTCTTTATTTTCCCGATGAATCAAGTTGGCACTTGAAGGAAGTCGCCCGAGCTGGGCGCGGCGCTTTTCAAGAGCACTTGAGCTCACTATATAACCGGCTGTCACTAGTCAACGAGCAGCTATTTTTCCAAATTAGCCACTGACCAAATAAATTACAATACTATGAAAGTTTGATAGTTTATTATATAGAGAGTAAACCTCTACAATGGTGTCAGAAGTGTTAAAGAACAGCGACTCTAAAAACTGCTGCGCATAAACGACGCAGACAGGTAAGCACAATAGGTGCCCGATTAAAAATCGAAAGAAACGACCAGCACAAGCAAGACTGGCACGGAAACCAACTAGTCCGCATTGTCGTGATCACCATACGACCAGCCAAATGCTGAGCAAGCGCATTAATATGCCGATATCGGTGCGAGAGTTAAGTCTTTGCAACTGACACTCAAACCGTAGAAACAACAACAGCGACTCTATACACTGCTGCGCACAAACCGACGCAGACAGGTGAGCACAATAGGTGCCCGATTAAAAACAAAATCGAAAGAAATGACCAGCATAAACAAGATTGGCACGGAAACCAACTAGTCCGCATTGTCGCGATCACCCAACGAACAGCCAAATGCTGAGCAAGCGCATTATTATGCCGATATCGGTGCGAGAGTTAAGTCTTTGAAACTGACACTCAAACCGTTGAAACAACAATAGCGACTCTATAAACTGCTGCGCACAAACGACGCAGACAGGTGAGCACATAGGTGCCCGATTAAAAACAAAATCGAAAGAAAAGACCAGCATAAGCAAGACTGGCACGGAAACCAACTAGTCCGCATTGTCGTGATCACCTAACGACCAGCCAAATGCTGAGCAAGCGCACTATTATGCCGATATTAGTGCGAGAGTTAAGTCTTTGAAACTGACACTCAAACCATACAAACAACAATTAACCACAGCGATGCGTTAAAAAGAAAATCTCCGCCCAAAATGAAGCGAAATGCGAACATGTGTTAGTCCGTGAAAAGAACTGGAAAATATTGAACGACTGAAATAAGAATATCAAAGTTGAACAAATAACAAATATCAAGGATTTTAAACTAAAAATGGAAACAGAAGACGTCAAATCTGAAAAAAGAAAAGAGAGAAGCGATTCGCTCCGAGTTAAGCTACCCAACGAAAAAGTCGTCAATATACACACGGGTCCAGAGGAAACAGCAGTTACACTACGGGCAAAAATAATTGGCAAACTCGCTCTCGAAAACCTGAAAAAAGAGGAAGTTGCCTTACCCTCAGGGGTCCGTCTCTATTGCGCAGGAAAAGAAGTCCGCACTGACGCAGAAGTCTCGTCTTTGCCAAAGATACCCACAAACTATAATCGCGCTACCAACGGAAACAGTAGTACCAATGCAAAACACCTATTATCATCGGGCTGCCGGCATTAACGAACAGAACGATCAAAATCTCGCAGAGCAAGATACAAATCGACGGAGAAAGCATTAGGCTCCTCCGTAAGAAATTAACCAGACTATTCGAAGTAAAGAAAGCTGAACGAGTAATGGACGGGACAATATTAGAAGTCCAGGCACCAGTCGACAAGACGGAGGACCGAGCGTTACGGGAGCAGCTTACCTTTACTGTCCCCACAGCTTCCGGTCCCCTGGACGTCTCTGTATGGCTAAACAACCGCAGTGAATTGAAAGCTGCAACCGATTTACCATGCCTCTCCCACTTGCCTTGGAAAAAGTTCCTAGGACTATCCCGGCCAGGTTGTCCACTGGAATTTTCGAAGTCAGAAGCGTACTCAAGGATACGAAAGATGTACCTGAAAACAACGCTGTTTTCATAGCCAAGGCAGGTCGGGCGATGATCCGCGCGCTGTCACTTCAGACAGCCCAGACAGCGGAGGAGACGCGGGACGTACGACCCGAAGACAAAACTGTTCTCCGTCCTCGGACAACTGTGCTGATGAAACGCCAAAGGGACCCCGGGGAGTCAAAGCTCTTTCGAAACTGGAAAGGGCGGCTCACAGTCTCGAAGCGTTTAGACGTTTACACTTACCTTCTTGCGTCTGATCTCTACCCAAGACGACAATTTATTGCGCACAGGAGCAACATTCGGCCTGTCGCAACTCCTCAAATCGTCGAAGAAAAGGAAGGATGCGCATCCGAGGTACGTTAAATTCACTTAAACGGAATGAAACGTAAAATTACCGGCACGACAGGCAGAGGAACCACGCCAGAACCGGCGGTCAGGCCTTCGTGAGAGAAAACGCATCAACTATAGGTAAGATCCAATGCATCTCTTTGGGGAAAGAGCGCACCGACGGTATTCGCATTGGAAAACGTATTGACATCTATTTAGGGAATAAACGCCCTGAAAGAGAACAACTGAAAAAAATACACACTGAAACTATTGAAATATCGCCCCTTAAGTAGATAAGCAAAACCGTTCCGTTCCTCGAAAACAAAATTATTTCAAGATGAGATTCGGACCTAAAGATATTTTGGAACGGCTGGTGTTGAACCACCAGCAATCCCTGATGGGCCAATTCGCCATGATGAAATGGCTCTTTGTAATATTCCTTCTCGGAATCCTTATCCTCGGCTTGAGCCTCGGACTGTTACGCAGCAATCGCTCAGAAATTTGCGCGTATGATTTGCTACTGCTGCCGTCAAAAGCAAGAAGTGCAGCTTAAAGTTCTTC